AAGTGGCTCACACCTGTAATCCCAACACTTTGGAAGACCGAGGCGGGCAGATCACGAGGTCAGGAAATAGAGACCAGCCTGTCTAAGATGGTGAAACCCCATCTCTACTAAAAATACAAAAAAAAATTAGCCAGTTGTGGTGGCGGGCGCCTGTCATCCCAGCTACTTGGGAGGCTGAGGCAGGAGAATCGCTTGAACCCAGGAGGCAGAGGTTGCAGTGACCCGAGATCACACCACTGCACTCCAGCCTGGGGTATAGAGCACTACTCTGTCTCAAAATAAAGTTGATGACACATAATAATAATTAAAAAATTTTTTTAATTAAAAAAAAAAACAATTTAGCTGGGCATGGTGGTGTGCACCTGTAATCCCAGCTCCTTGGGAGGCTGAGGCAGAACCACTTGAATTTGGGAGGCAGAGGTTGCAGTGAGCCAAGATTGTGCCACTGCACTCCAGCCTGGGTGACAGAGTGAGACTCTGTCTCAAAAAAAAGCTTTTTCCAAGAACAGAGTTGAAAAAGCGCATCAGCCAGGTGCGGTGGCTCACACCTGTAATCTCAGCACTTTGGGAGGCTGAGGCGGGTGGATTACCTGAGGTCAGAAGTTCAAGACCAGCCTAACCAAAATGGTGAAACCTTCTCTACTAAAATACAAAAAATTAGCCAGGTGTGGTGGCAGGTGCCTGTAATCCCAGCTACTGGGGAGGCTGAGACAGGAGAATCCCTTGAACCCGTGGATATTGCAGTGAGCTGAGGTTGGGCCATTGCACTCCAGCCTGGGCAACAAGAGCAAAACTCTGCCTCGAAAAAAAAGAAAAAGCACATCATCTTCTGCACATACCATAGTCCGTTTTCATTCCAGGGCTACCTGAACTCCTATCCAGGCACCCCCAAGCCCTGCCTGAGGCCAGTTCGTTTAACAGCACACACATATCCATGCTATCGCCACCCAGCACGCCTGGTTCTCAAGGCCAGTGAAGTGCTTGTGCCTACACCATCTCACAGCCACTTAGTTCAAAGCTGCCCCATGCCTCCTCCTCAGCAGGTGTGAGATAGCGTCACTCAGGACCACAGTGCCCACCTGCTGCACCAAGATTTTCCTTGAACTTCAAGCCTTTTTCTCAAAGTGTGGACCCGGCACTGCCTGAATCCAAATCAGCTGGGGTTGCAGGGGAGGAGGGTGCTTCTCAAAAAGGCAGTCCTGGGCCGTAGGCCTGAACCCAAGAAAACACTTGTACAAGCCTGAGAACTGAGAACTGAGAACTTTTTTTTTTTTTTTTTTTTTTTTGAGACGGAGTTTTGCTCTTGTTGCCCAGGCTGGAGTGCATTTGAGACAGTCTCACTCTGTCGCCCAGGCTGGAGTGCAGTGGCACAGTCTTGGCTCACTGCAACCTCTGCCTCCCGGTTCAAGAGATTCTGCCTCAGCCTCCCAAGTAGCTGGAATTACAGGTGCCTGCCACCACGCCAGGCTAATTTTTGTATTTTTAGTAGAGACAGGGTTTCACCATATTGACCAGGCTCGTCTCAAACTCCTGACCTCATGATCCACCCGCCTCCACCTCCCAAACTGCTGGGATTACAGGCGCCTGCCACCACGCCCGGCCTGCCTGAGAACATTGTATGGGTGCTTCCTGGGTTCTAGTGACGGTGGTGGCTAACTCACTTTGCTGGTCAGCATAGCCTTTATAAACTGTTTTAGCTGGGCCCAAAATAGCAACGGGGGGGAAAAAAAAGAATGTGTATTCTCAAAACCATCCCAAAGACAAGAAAATGGCTGGACTAGAAATTCAGTTTCCTGTTCCTAGAGATAAGCACTATGACGGCACCGCTTAACAGGTGGTCTCCAATCTGCTTCCTGTAGGTGGAGGGCCACCTCCTTGTAGGGATGGCAAATCGCCACACCAAGCCTCTCTACTACCCTCTTCTCCCTCAAAGGGAAGCAACCTCACAGTTTATTCCACTAAATACAGGCCCATCACCACGACTCAGCGAACAACTCGAGCAGGTGCCCACCCAGCTCTCCTTCGGGGGCCTGGCCCATCTCTCACTCCCATGGCGCCCCTACCCTGCGGTTTCTGACTCCAGCCACCCCAGTGATCCGTCCCCTGGAACTGCCAGATCTGTAGCTGTCTAAGTCCCCCTTCTAAGTCCGCCTCACCCACGAGAGGGCCAGCAGCTCTTGGCTTATTACACTTGACAAGTTGAAGGGTCTAAGTCTCATGTACAAATGGAAAGTGCAATCAGGTGTCAAACCAAATTCCAAGCTCCCCTGACACTATCAGTGCCTTAACAGCCGGACCACTGTCCCCGCTCACTGAGGTCCTTTTCACCTTCCAGGAAATCCAAGTGTCCCCTAAAAAGCCTGAAGTCTAGATAGCAGCAGATATCAAATGTCATTTTTTTGTTTGAGACGAAGTTTTGCTCTTGTTACCCAGGCTGGAGTGCAATGGCACGATCTCGGCTCACCGCAACCTCCGCCTCCTGGGTTCAAGCAATTCTCCTGCCTCACCCTCCTGAGTAGCTGGGATTACAGGCGTGCGCCACCATGCCCAGCTAATTTTTGTATTTTTAGTAGAGACGGGGTTTCACCATGTTGACCAGGATGGTCTCAATCTCTTGACCTCATGATCCATCCATCTCGGCCTCCCAAAGTGCTGGGATTACAGGCGTGAGCCACCGCACCCGGCCTCAAATGTCTTAAGACACTTGGTATCATCCAACTCCCTCACTTCCCTCATGTTTCTGACCACTCTATCCCACACACCACTCATTAGCGGTTAGGAACCACATATTTAAACAACTGGCTGTTCCTAAAGGTATGAGAACAACACTAACCAAACACTTCAGCACTCAAAGTGCCATGGGAAAAGGGCGATCAGAGGCTTTTGGAGAGAAAGCACATGAAGCCTTTAGCTTTGTTTGTTTCGTTTGTTTGTTTGTTTTTTGCCTTTAGTAGTGACTAGTTCCGGCCAGGCGCGGTGGCTCATGCCTGTAATCCCAGCACTTTGGGAGGCCGAGGCGGGTGGATCACCTGAGGTAGGGAGACCAGCCTGACCAACATGGAGAAACCCATCTCTACTAAAAATATGAAATTAGCTGGGCGTGGTGGCAGGCGCCTGTAATCCCAGCTACTTGGGAGGAGGCTGAGGCAGGAGAATCGCTTGAACCCAGGAGGAGGTTGAGGTGAGCCATCACTCCATTGCACACCAGCCTGGGCAACAAGAGCGAAACTCCATCTCAAAAAACACAAAAGTGACACTACTTCATAGCACACAGTGACATTAACAAACCTCATTTCCTTGGCTATACCAGCACACTCAAGGGAACGGCAGTGACGGTGTTTGTGTAACTCACACTGGCGGAGATGAGACCGACCGCCTGTTTCAGCACTCTCGCGAACTTAAATCACGGCTTGAAACTCTCCACGGCCCCAGTCAACCTCCACACCTCAACTGTTTTCGATCAGGCAAGTGAGGTGTGAGTCAAAACAGATACAAAGGAAACTGGTCTACAATGTGTTCTGGGCACAGCTGGTGTCATGGCTGTGATGGAATTCAAGTGCACACCACATATTCCCCATCAAAAAACCGCATTTGCTGGCAAAGGTGCTCCCTAAGTTCTGCATCTGGAGAAATTCTACCGAGTTAGTGACAGCCCACCCCGAATCTCACTGCAGCAAACAGCACAGCTAAGGGAAGAACATGGAAACAAAGGACATCGTTTCTTCTAAGCCTAATGAAGACCAAGAGAACTGCTGGTACAGCAACTAATTTGTGAGGACAAAGCTTTTAACATGCCAGTCCTTAAAAAAACAAAGCCTTGCACAGTAATAGTAGCGATGTGTTAGCCACTTTAATAGAAAATGTGATCAAAACTCGATTACAAGAGATCAAAAAGACATAGAAAAACCAGTGGGTTTCAATTTTATTACAAGTTTTCAAATCTGGGACTAGTTTTTTTCTTTTAACTTAAATGGTAACTTCAGCCCAGGGTTTTTTCACAACCAAAGTAAAAATTACTTTCTACATGGGAACATCAATCAATGCAACAAACAAGTAAAATTTGTAAACTCAAACCACAAACTCACAGTTAATAATCACAGGTAAGGGGCATCGCCAAAAAGCAACTGACGCCTCAGTGAAGTTTGAAAGAAACTCTGCCTTCTGTGAAGGCAGAGAAATATGCAAGCAATTCTGCTTCAAAGAAATTTGCATAGAAATGGAAAATGCTAGAGCCTTTAACACAAGTGAAACTGCAAAGCCTCAACATGTTCAACTAATCCACAGGGCACCAAACGTTACATTGGAGCCAAGGTAGGATCAAGCATTGAATTTCCAGCTATGCAACTCACAGAGCACAGCTTCAGGTGCGGAAACCATCTGTAGGCAAGCTCTTTTAAAAACGTCAATTTCATATACTGTAAATTCTAAAACAGACCCTTCTTCATTACTGTTTGAATTTCTTTCAAAGTCACTCACAGCAACAATTGCGACTCTTTTCCCAACCTTGGCAGCCCCTTTCACAATTCTCTAACCTGTACACTGCATCACACCAGTTTGTAGAATGACTTCTGACATTCCGGCTAGTCGTGGCCCAAGTGGCATGGGGCAGCTACTTCCCAGGACACCTCCCACCTCCTTAGCATGGGAGGCTTCCCAGTCATTTCCCCTCTGTGGTCCCCTTCACCAGAGCCTCCAGAGCTCTTGGCATCGGGGTCCCCACATCTGGAAGCACTATTCCTACAGCTCCCTCTGCTGGAGACCAAAGTGACAGTTTGTTGCAAAGACTTGTACAAACATTACTTACACATTCATTTTTGTACACATGTAGTTAATTTAGAACCTGGGACTTTTACAGTCGAGTCCCCAAACGCCTTTATAGAGAGTGACAGACTACGCACCAATTCGGAAGGAGTGCAGCTTCTCCCTCTAGGAAGAAGAGGATTAGCAGGCATAATTGTGTGTCAAGAGAAATTTGTAATCAAAAAATGAAAGACGAATAACCCAAAAACCTGCATTTTATTGACACTTTTTCCCACAGAGAATCTTAGAAAGTTGTCACGTTTTCTTTTAATGAATGAGAGGAGCCCACTCGTATCCTGAATCATTGTTTGCGAAAAGCAACAGATACAATTGACAGTCACACTTTTTAAGTAACAGCCACTCCCTTCAGCCCACACCCCCACACCCTCATGTGCCTCCCCAAGGCTGTCAGTTCCGTCAAGTCACCCCCTCCTACTCTGGTATTACCTCAAGAACTGAAATTTTCAAGCAGAAAAAAAAAAAGAAGTTACAAATAAGTGAGTGGGGAACCAAGGGAAGCCCTTTGAGACTATGATTTCCATTTTCTGTTCAATCCACACTGCACAGATACAAGGATAAACCACCATTTTGGTTCCTAAGTTTTATTCAAGAACACATACAAAATATTCCAGATAAATGAAATTTAATCCTCGTCTTCCTCCTCTTCTTCGTCCTGGTTAATCTGGAAGTAACGTAATTCGTAACTCTCTTTGCTGTTAGCAACTACGCGCAACCAATCACGTAGATTATTCTTCTTCAAATATTTTTTGGTGAGATATTTCAAATACCTGCAGAGAAAGGACACTTGAGAACTACACTAGACAAATTGGACCTTGCATCCTGAAGCATTTTAGCGTTTTCAAAATGACAATTCAAGGTGTTTTCCCAAGCCTCAAAAACGGCAAAGGCAAGGCAAATACACCCAGCCAAGGCTCACAGAGTATCAGCCACGAGCCATCAACACCAGCAATAACAATGACAGCAGGCCAGGCACGGTGGCTCACACCTGTAATCCCAGCACTTTGGGAGGCTGAGGCAGGCAGATCACCTGAGGTCAGAAGTTCAAGATCAGCCTGGCCAAAATGGTGAAACCCTGTCTCTACTACAAAAATTGGCCAGGCATGGTGGTGCACACCTGATGCCCAGCTACTCGGAAGGCTGAGAATCACTTGAACCCAGGAGGGGGGAGATTGTGCCATTGCATTCCAGCCCGGGTGACAGAGCAAGACTAGCTTAAAAAAAAAAAAAAAAAAAGAGCAGGTAAGTAGATGTACCAGTTGTCCATGAAACAGCAGCAAATACCTATAAAATGGTCTTTAGTGACCACTGGAGACAGATAACATGATAGAAATTTAACAGTTAAGTGCACAACCTCCATACTTTTTATGGAGAATCAGTGGGTTCCCAGTGAACTCTAAGCACTGTGCACACATCGCCTCACTGAGTGAAGCCCCCTTTGAGGTGTCTGGATGATGAGGACTGCTTCTTAGGGCTGTGTGCACTCTCACTCCTGCTACATGATGCGCACCCCACAACGCACAGGGACAGAGTAACACCCTGCCACTGCGCTCATGCCTGGAGAGCAAAGACTTTCTTGTGGTGGTGGTGTTGTTTTGAGACGAAGTCTTGCTCTGTCACCCAGGCTGGAGTGCAGTGGCACAATCACGGCTCACTGCAACCTCTGCCTCCTGGAGTCAAGCAATTCTCCCACCTCAGCCTCCCAAGTAGCTGGGATTACAGGCATCCGCCACCACGCCCAGCTAATTTTTTGTACTGTAGTAGAGACAGGGTTTCACCATGTTGCCCAGGTTGGTCTTGAACTCTGACCTTGTGATCCAACCCACCTCGGCCTCCCAAAATGCTGGGATTACAGGCGTGAGCCACTGCGCCCAATCACAAAGACTTTCGACCAGCCTGCCCAACTGCTGCTTTAGCAGGGTGAGAGCTAAACACTCACCACAGCAAGCTGATCATTAGAAAACTTTTTTGAGACAGAATCTCATTCTGTGGCCCCAAGCTCACTGCAACCTCTGCCTCCAGGATTCAAGCAATTATCATGCCTCAGTTTCCCAAGTAGCTGGGATTACAGGCATGCACAACACCACACACAACTAATTTTTTTTTTCTTTTTCTTTTCTTTTCTTTTTTTTTTTTGAGATGGAGTTTTGCCCAGGCTGGAGTACAGTGGCACAATCTCAGCTCACCACAACCTCCGCCTCCTGGGTTCAAGTGATTCTCCTGCCTCAGCTTCCAAGTAACTGGGATCACAGGCGTGCACCACCACACCAGCTAATCTTGTATTTTTAGTAGAGATGGGGTTTCTCCATGTTGGTCAAGCTGGCCTCGAACTCATGACCTCAGGTGATCCGCCCACCTCGGCCTCCCAAAGTGCTGGGATTACAGGCGTAAGCTGCCGTGCCTGGCTTTTTTTTTTTTTTTTTTTTAAAAAGACGAAGTCTCAGTCTGTTGCCCAGGCTGGAGTGCAGTGGTGCAATCTCCACTCACTGCAACCTGCACCTCCCCGGTTCAAGCAATTCTCCTTGAATCTCCTTCCTTAGCCTTCTGAGTAGCTGGGATTACAGGGGCATGCCACCACTCCTGACTAATTTTTATACTTTTAGTAGAGACAGGGTTTCATCATGTTGGTCAGGCTGGTCTTAAACTCCTGATGTTGTGATCCACCCACCTCAGCCTCCCAAAGTCCTGGGATACACAGCTAATTCTTATAATTTTAGTAGAGACGAGGGTTTTGCCATGTTGGCCAGGCTGGTCCCTAACTCCTGGCCTCAAGTGATCTGCCCGCCTCAGCCTCCCAAGTGCTGGGATTACAGGCATGATCCATCACGCCCCGCCATAAAATTCATACTTTACGGAAAGGCAACAACTGGCTTTTGTGACCAACACCCTACCTACATAAAGATAACCTAAGGTCTGGGTATGGTGGCTCACACCTATAATCCCAACACTTTGTGAAGCCAAGGTGAGAGGATCCCTTGAACCTAGGAGTTTGAGACCAGCCTGGGCCACACAGCAAGACCCTGTCTCTACACAACATTTTTTTTTAATTAAAAAAACAGCCGGGCACAGTATTGCGTGCCTGTAGTCCCAGCTACTCAGGAGGCTGAGGTGGGAGGATCACTTGAGCCCAGGAGTTCTGGGCTGTAGTATGCTGTGTCAATCAGGTGTCCGCACTAAGTCTGGCACCAATATGGTGACCTCCCAGGAGTGGGGGAACCACCAGGTTACCTAAGGTGGGGTGAACCTGCCCAGGTCAGAAACAGAGCAGGTCAAAACTCTCATGCTGATCAGTAGTGGGGCTGCATCTGTGAATAGCCACTGCACTCCATCCTGGGCAACATAGCAAAACCCCATCTCTAAAAAAAGAAAGAAAGAAAGAAAGGAAATGGCTGGGCGAGGTGGCTCACGCCTGTAATCCCAGCACTTTGGGAGGCCAAGGTGGGAGGATCACCAGGTCAGTAGACGGAGACCAGTCTGGCCAACATGGTGAAACCCTGTCTCTACTGACAAATACAAAAATTAGCTGGACGTGGTGGTACCTGTAGTCCCAGCTACTCAGGAGGCTGAGTGAGGCAGGAGAATCACTTGAACCTGGGAGGGGGAGGCTGCAGTGAGTCGAGCCTGCGCCACAGCACTCCAGCCTGGCGACAGAGCGAGACTCCATTTAGAAAAAAAAAAAAAAAAGATGAAGTGCACCACAATCTTGGCTTCTCTCTCACCAGCTTGCTTACGCAGCCCTGAGACTGGCTATTCCGAATCTTCCCAAGCCATAAAGAGGGAATTTCACACCACACAAACCCACGGCAGAGCCAATTAATCTAACCAAGCTGTTCCTCCCACAGTGAAAGGGGACTCCTGCTGCTAACCATCTCTTCAGACCATAACAAGGACTAAATGAGATGCTCAGATAGATCCCTCGCATATTAACAGGGACGCAAATGTTATGAACCAACACACTCACCATCTCAAAACAAGGAACATCGTTTAACAGAGACTCACACCAACAAAGCAATCTTCACAAAGTATAAAGACCTCAGTCCAACTCTGTCTACTTTTCCCTACACAAAGATAAATCAATTTGGTCATTCCATCTAGAAAGTACTTTTTTGTCAATTATTTCCACCATATTGTATTCAGATGAGATTGTTTAATTCAAAATTTCAGATGGTTTAAAATTTTCTTGACATAGCCAGGCATGGTGGGCCACTCATGTAGTCCCAGCTACTTGGGAGGCTGAGGCAGAACTGTTTGAGCCCAGGAGCTTGAGGCTAGAGTGAGCTATGATCGCTCTGCTGCACTCCAGCCTGGGCGACAGAACAAGACCCTATCTAAAAAAAGGGGGTAAAAAATCCCTAATAGAACACCCAGGGAAAAAAAAATCAGGTAAAAAAAAAAAAAACCCTGTATAGGCCAGGAACGGTGGCTCACGCTATAATCTCCGCACTTTGGGAGGCCAAGGCAGGTGGATCAATCACCTGAGGTCGGGAGTTCAAGACCAGCCTGGCCAACAGGGTGAATTCTGTCCCCACAAAAAATTAGCCGGGCATGGTGACAGGCACTTGTAATCCCAGCTACACAGGAGGCTGAGGCAGGAGAATTGCTTGAAACTGGGAGGTGGAGGTTGCAGTGAGCTGAGGTTGCACCACTGCACTCCAGCCTGAGTAACAAGATCGAAACTTCTTCTCAAAAAAAAATTTTAATTAAAAAAGAAAATCACCCTACACAAAGTCAGAGGCAGAAAAAGTTCTACATTAGGGACACCTTGAACATTTCAGGAAAATAAAACTTATCATCAAGAAAGGAAAGCTGTAATAGACAATTAAGGCACCTTCCTTCTCCACTGGATAAAGAACAGAAAATCTGTGAAAAAGGAAGTGACACACGCCAGGAGACACGCCACCCTGGTCAACAGGTCACAGGAAGATCACAGAATCTTCCCCAAGGGCTCTGCCACAGCCCAGCAGGCCAGAGGCTTTGGACACTCCGCGGGAAGCCCCACGTTCACTGCTTCCTAGACAAACTGAGAGGACTTCACTTAAGCTCCAAAGTCATTTCTTCACTGACATAGCTAAAAATAAAAGCAAAAGCTTAACTACAACCAATTTGTTCTAACATACCTTAAAATTTCCCACTACTTGATTTATTATAATTAAAAGCTCCTAAAAGGCCACAGTCCCAGGCAAGGAGCTATGTGTATGCATTATCAAATTCCTCAGCAACTGGTAAGTATTTTAACCTCATCCTCAAAAACCACCACATAACACAGGAGGGAACTAGCAGATCAATGTCTCCATTTAGAAATGAAAGAAAATGGGCCCCCAGGAATTACCTAGAGTGAACTCCATCTAAACTGAGGTCTTCAGATTCCTCGTCCAGTGCCACAGTAGCACTTAAAAGGAAAACAACTGGAAATAAAAATGAAAGCTCTTGGCCAGGGGCATTGGGCGACACCTGTAATCCCAGCACTTTTGGGGAGGCCAAGGGAGGTGTATCACCTGAGGTCAGGAGTTCAAGATCAGTCTGACCAACATGGCGAAACCCTGTGTCTACTAAAAATACAAAAATTAGCTGGGTGTAGGCCAGGCACCATGGCTCACGCCTGTAATCCCAGCACTCTGGAAGGCTGAGGCAGGTGGATCACCTGAGGTCAGGAGTTCCAGACCAGCCTGGCCAACATGGTGAAACCCCATCTCTACTAAAAATACAAAAATATTAGCTGGGTATGGTGGCAAGCGCCTGTAATCCCAGCTACTCAGGAGGCTGAGGCAGAAGAATCACTTGAACCTGGGAGGTGGAGGTTGCAGTGAGCCAAGACTGTGCCATTGTACTTCCAACCTGGGCAAGAAGAGTGACACTCCTTCTAAAAAACATAAATAAAATAGCCGGGCATGGTGGCAGGTACTTGTAATCCCAACTACTCAGGAGGCTGAGGCAGGAGAATCACTTGAACCCAGGAGGCAGAGGTTGCAGGAAGCCAAGATGCAGCCACTGCACTCCAGTATGGACAAAAGAGGCTCTTGTTGCCCAGGCTGGAGTGCGATGGTGTGATCTCGGCTCCCTGCAACCTCTGCCTCCCGTGTTCAAGTGATTCTCCTGACTCAGCCTGCTGAGTAGCTGGGATTACAGGCGTGCACCACCATACCCAGCTAATTTTGTATTTTTAGTAGACACAGGGTTTCATCAGGTTGGCCAGGCTGGTCTGGAACTCCTGACCTCAGAAGATTCACCTGCCTCGGCCTCCCAAAGTGCTGGGATTACAGGCATGAGCCACCATGCCTGGTCTGCAATATATGTATTTTTCTTTTTTTTGAGCTAGGGTCTCACTCCATCACCCAGGCTGGCCTGCAGTGGCACAATCACAGCTCATTACAACCCTGACCTCCTGGGCTCAAGCCATCCTCCCACTTCAACCCCCCAAGTGGCTGGGACTACAAGCACAAGTCGCCATCCCCAGCTAATTTTAACTGTTAAGAGATGGGGTCTCACTATGTTGCCCAGGCTGGTCTCAAACTCCCGGGCTCAAGCAATCCTCCTGTCTGCGCCTCCCAAAGTGCTGGGATTACAAGCATGAGCCACTGTGCCCAGCCAAGAATATTTGAGAAAACAGTCTAAGCAAGTCTGAGTACCTTACTGCTTAAATTAGCCTGGCTGGGGCTTTGGTGGCTCAGGCCTGTAATCCCAGCACTTTCGGAGGCCAAGGCTGGTGGATCACTTGAGGTCAGAAGTTCAAGAGCAGCCTGGCCAACGTGGTGAAACCTCATCTTTACTAAAAATACAAAAATTATTGGACACATCTTTGTAGCAATGTGTAAGAAAAAATCAAATCAGCTGGCCATAGTAGCAGGCACCTGTAGCCTCAGCTACTCGGGAGGCTGAGGCAGAAGAATCACTTGAACCTGGGAGGCAGAGGTTGCAGTGGGCCAAGATCACAACATTGCACTCCAGCCTGGGCAACAGAGCAAGACTCTGTCTCAAAAAAAAAAAAAAAAAAAAAAAAAGGCTGACTCAGTAGCTCACAGCTGTAATCCCACCACTTTTGGAGGCCGAGGCAAATACATCACCTGAGGTCTGGAGTTCAAGACCAGCCTGACCAACAAAGTGAAACCCTCTCTCTACTAAAAATACAAAAATTAGCCGGACGTGGTAGCAGGCACCTGTCGTCCCAGCTACTCGGGAGGCCAAGGTAGAACTGCTTGAACTCAGGAGGCAGAGGTTGCAGTGAGCCAAATAGTGCCCCCACCCTCCAGACTGGGCGACAGAGCAGGACTCCGTATCAAAAAAAAAAAAAAGTCGGCTGGGCGCGGTGGCTCAAGCCTGTAATCCCAGCACTTTGGGAGGCCGAGGCGGGTGGATCACGAGGTTGAGAGATCGAGACCATCCTGGTCAACATGGTGAAACCCCGTCTCTACTAAAAATACAAAAATTAGCTGGGCATGGTGGCGCGTGCCTGTAATCCCAGCTACTCAGGAGGCTGAGGCAGGAGAATTGCCTGAACTCAGGAGGCAGAGGTTGCAGTGAGCCAAATAATGCCCCCACACTCCAGACCGGGCGACAGAGCAAGACTCCGCATCAAAAAAAAAAAAAAAAGTCCTTGAGGGACCTCCTCTTTTGGCTGTGGAGCTCCCCCTCCCTCTGTCTCTGTACAGGGGAGTTTCTTCCTTCTCCCATCCTTCCTGCCTATTAAACCCTCTACTCCTTAAAACCAAAAAACCAACAAACAAACCTTTAGCCTGTGAAAGACACAATTTTAAAACCATCAAAAGTCGCCTATTGTTAACGACCATGACGGCATTCATCCACTGCCTCCTGCGCCGGGCACGCTTCCAGAAATTAACAGATGCAAACCAATCACTCCGCGGGTGCCCCCACGCAAAGGCGGGCTGAGCGCTGGGCACACGCAGGCTGCAAACACCTCCCCCCCATACCTTTTGGAGAAAGGCACCTCGGACGTCACGGTGATCTTGCTCTTGCTCCTTTCGATGGTCACCGCCCCTCCACCCAGGTTCCCGGCCTTGCCGTTCACTTTGATCCTTTCTTGCAAAAACTGCTCCTGTGGAAACCATTGAATGGACCCATGAAGGGACAGGTTCATCTCTTGCAATAGAAAATGTTTTTGTCTCCCAACACTGAACGAATAGCATTTTTTTTTTTGTTTTGGTTGACAGAGTCTCACCCCGTCATGCAGGCTGGAGTGCAGCAGGAGCATCACGGCTCACCGCAGTCTCAACCTCCCAGGCTCAAGTGTTCCTCCCACCTCGACCGCACGTGCCAGTGCCACCACACCGGCTAATTTTTGTATTTTTTGACAAGACAGGATTTTACCATATTGCTCAGGCTGATCTCAAACTCCTGGATTCAAGCGATCCACCCACCTCAGCCTACCAAAGTGCTAGGACTACAGGTATGAGCAACCCCATCTGGCCCCAGCTCATTTTTTAATTTGTTTTTTTTTTTTTTTTTTTTTAAAGAAGGGGTCTCCAGCCGGGCGCGGTGGCTCACGCCTGTAATCCTAGCACTTTGGGAGGCCGAGGTGGGTGGATCACCTGATGCCAGGAGTTCAAGACCAGCCTGGCCATCATGGTGAAACCCCATCTTAAAAATAAAATAAAATGCCAGACGCAGTGGCTCAAGCCTGTAATCCCAGCACTTTGGGAGGCCGAGGCGGGTGGATCACGAGGTCAAGAGATCAAGACAATCCTGGTCAACACGGTGAAACCCCGTCTCTACTAAAAATACAAAAAAATCAGCTGGGCATGGTGGCACGTGCCTATAATCCCAGCTACTCAGGAGGCTGAGGCAGGAGAATTGCCTGAATCCAGGAGGCGGAGGTTGCGGTGAGCCGAGATCGTGCCATTGCACTCCAGCCTGGGTAACAAGAGTGAAACTCCGTCTCAAAAAAAAAAAATAAATTAAATTAAACTAAATTAAAAGGAGTAAGAAAAAAAATAAAGGGGTCTATGTTGCCCAGGTTGGTCTCAAACTCCTGGGCTCAAGTGATCTTCCCACATCAGCCTCCCAAACCATGGGAATTACAGGTGCCAGCCACCACACCTGGCCCTAATACTGGTTTCTTAAATGTTTGATCTTTTTAAAAAATGTTAACAAATCCCATTTACATATACACACTGAGACCACATCCCAGCATGAACATGCTTGCTACTTCCACGCAAGATCAAATATGCCTCCACACGAAAGGCTTAGTGGGCAACACAAGGAGACGGGAAACCCAAGGCCAAACTTCTATAAAGAACGCCTGCACTCCCAGCACGATGGGAGGGATGCGAGACCAGGCTGGGCACATGGCAAAACCCTATTTCTGCAAAAAATGCAAGTATTGGCCAGGCGTAGTGGCAAGCGCTTGTTGTCCCGGCAGCTCGGGAGGCTAAGGCAGGAGAATCACTTGAGCCCAGAAGGCAGAGGGTGCAGTGAGCCAAGATCACAGCATTGCACTCCAGTCTGGGGGACAGAGACTCTGTCTCAAAAAACAAACACAAACAAACAAAGAAAACTTTCACAAGGTACATGGCAACCGAAGCTAGAAGCAACTTCTGAATCTAAGGAAAATAAGCTTTCAACATAGCAGAAGGCACAAAGACACAGTGACCAAAACAATTCTAGAGCTGAGCAGGGCCATGGGTAGCACAGCAGAAGCAGCGGCCACTCAGAAGCCCGAGACACTCTCTGCAAACCCCTGTGTGGGCCTAGGCAAGACATTCACCTCCTTGTACTTCAGGAAGCTTTGTCCAAAAAGGATCTTTTTAGTTGTCTTCTAGCTACTGCAATGACATGAAGTCCCCTTCAGCTCAAAATTCCTCTAATTTTCTATTTAAAAACTCCAATACAAAATATGTTAACTGGCTGGGTGCAGTAGCTCATGCCTGTAATTCCAGCACTTTGGGTAGCCAAGGCAGGAAGATTGCCTGAGCACTGCAGTTCAAAACAAGCTTGGGCAACTTGGAAAGACCCTTTATCTACAAAAAAAAAAAAAAAAAAAAAAACCTTCAAAATTAACTAGATATGGTGGTGCATGCCTGTGGTCCCAGCTATTCCAGAGGCTGAGGAAGAGGTGGGGGTATCACTTGGGCCCATGCGGTTGAGGCTGCAGTGAGCCAGGATCATTCCACTGCCCTCCAGCCTGGGCAACAGACCCTTTCTCAAAAAATAAAAATTTGGCTGGACACAGAGGCTCACACCTATAATCCTAACACTTTGGGAAACCAAGGCAGGCAAATCGCCTGAGGTCAGGAGTTTTGAGACCAGCCTGGCCAACATGGCCAAGTGCTGTCTCTACCAAAAAAAAGTACTCAAATTAGCTGAGCGTTGTGGCGCACACCTGTAGTCTCAGCTACTCAGAAGGCTGAAGGAGAATCACTTGAATCTTAGAGGCGGAGGCTGCAGCGAGCGAAGACCACACCACTGCACTCTAGCCTGGGTGACAGAGTCAGATTCTGTCTCAAAAAAATAAAATAAATAAAAATTATACATTAACCAAAGATGGGGCAGAGTGATTAGGTCAGAAATCTTGAAGTCTGTATCTCAAGATTCATAAATGACTTAAGTTTTCTATCTTAAGGAAGCTTCCAGAAGGAAAGACAATCACATACACAGATGAGTAGGCTAAGGGAGGGAGGCAGGAATAATCCCAGGACAGAGACAACATATGAATACCAAACTGGAATACACCAAAGCTGAGAAAGTATTACAGGTACCAGCCACCACATCCAGCTCATCTGTCTATTTTTTTTGGTAGAGACAGCACTTCACCATGCTGGCCAGGCTGGTCTCAAACTCCTGACCTCAGGGCCACACAGAAAAGCCAGAAGTCACTGGAGAGAGAAAGAACTAAGGAAATAAGGGATTCCTTGAAGGACACAGATGCAAACAGCATCGACATAAAGGCAATAAACTATAAGAGGTTACCCAAATTCCATTCTGAAAAATTCGTGGCCATAATTGTTTTGTGTTTAAAAGTTATTTTTGTTGTAATGATACCGATTCTGGTAATAGTTCAACCTTCTGGAGAATTTAGAGCAAATGCACATTTAGGAGACTTCTGCACACAAATTTGAAGTCTGAATCCCCCAAGCATGACTATTAGAAGAAAAAGAATAAAATGTCAAAACCAAACTGCTGAGTCAAAATATGGCAGTGGGACTGTTTAATATTTCTAGATTGCAATAGGACAGAGGAATATTGGGGAATGGGCCAAACACAGGGGCAAAAAATCAGCACAGGGCACTATCAAACAAAACAAAACAAAACAAAAAACAAGCTCCAATTACAATTCACCAAGCAGGGTACTTTTTTTTTGAGACAGAGTTTCATTCTTGCTGCCCAGGCTAGAGTGCAATGGTGCAATCTCAGCTCACTGTAATCTTCGCCTCCTGGGTTCAAGCCATTCTCCTGCCTCAGCCTCCCAAGTAGCTGGAATTACAGGCATGCACCACTATGCCCAGCTAATTTTGTATTTTTATCAGAGACGAGGTTTCTCCATGTTTGTCAGACTGGTCTCGAACTCCAGACATCAGGTGATCTGCCCGCCTCAGCCTCCCAAAAGTGCTGGGATTACAGGCATGAGCCACCGAGCCCAGACAAGCTGGGTACTTTAAAGACTGAAGCTCAGATGCTCAGATGCTTAATAATATAGAAAGCTTCAGGAACTGCTGCCACTTGTCCAAAGCTCCACATCTAAGCAGCGAGGCCCAGGATAGAGGCAACCCATAGTCAGGATCAAGGTCCCCCACTTATGTTTAAACACACAAAAGAGCCGGGCGCGGTGGCTCAAGCCTGTAATCCCAGCACTTTGGGAGGCCGAGGCGGGTGGATCACAAGGTCAAGAGATCGAGACCATCCTGGTCAACATGGTGAAACCCCGTCTCTACTAAAAATACAAAAAAAATTAGCTGGGCATGGTGGCGTGTGCCTGTAATCCCAGCTACTCAGGAGGCTGAGGCAGGAGAATTGCCTGAACCTAGGAGGCGGAGGTTGCGGTGAGCCGAGATCGTGCCATTGCACTCCAGCCTGGGTAACAAGAGTGAAACTCCGTCTCAAAAAAAAAAAAAAAAAAAAAAAAAAAAAAAAAAAAAACCACACAAAAGAGCAAAGGAGAGGCCAGGCACAGTGGCTCACGCCTGTTAATCCCAGCTACTTGGGAGACTGAAGCAGTAGAATCATTTGAAGCTGAGAGGTGGAGGCTGCAGTGAGCCAAGATCTTACCACTGAACTCCAGACTGAGCGACAGAGAAAGACTCCATCTTCCAAAAAAAAAAAAAAAAAAAAAAAGGCAAGGCGGATGCCATGGACCCAGTGAAACCTGTCGGTTTCTCGGGAACTTTTAAATAAAATCATTTGTGGAAACTACAGGAGAAAAACAAGATAGTCCTCTAACACCTCTGTGCTAGAGCCCTTCCTTGCTTAAATTCCAAGCCCATCTCCTTTACGCCTCACAACTGCTACACACACAAGAGGAAGCAAGACTTGGAAACAAACAAGTCATCTGCTCACACTCCCAGGGTGAAACGATAAGCCAGACCTGTGAGGCTGCCTATAAGACTGAAAACAGAAATGTACCCCAGTAGGTTTTCTCAACAGTTACCTCAAAATGTTCATCATCTCCCGAGTGGCAATAAGGATGTAACTTACAAAATTGGCAGCATCCATGATTCCATCTTCTACAGGGTGGGTGCAGTCAAGAGTGAATTTCAGAACCTGCTTCTTTTTTTTGCCCCCCTTCGCCACAAGCTTTTTCTAAGAAAATACACAAACAATAACAGAGAAGAAGATTCAATCAGTCAGAAAACAAGATGAACAGAACCAGAAATGTCATAGGTATAAAAGTCTACACAAATACAAAACTCGTTAAGCTTGCGTTCCCTTGGCAAGAGGGCCAAGAGGCATCATTGCCTGAGTGGCAGAGGTACAAGGCAGGCAGATGCTTCTCTACAAGTTTGGGGGCCTGAGGTCATGCCCTTTTGATGGGGAAATCATTCTAGCACTCCTGACCCACTCTAACTTTCCAGCCTCTGCAATCTCTGCAGGCATGAAAGTCTCTTAGTTTATGAACCACAATAAAATGAACATTTCCTTTTATTTTTCCTAAAATTTCCAAATACAATTTCAAAAAATACTATTTATTTTTTTCCAAAATTACGGTACAGGCAGACAAAATGCCTTGCATACCCACAACAATTTTCAAGTGAAATCAATCCTTATCTTACATGTTCAGGGCAGGGTCCTGATCCATCTTAGCTCACCTCCCTTCACCCTGTCTCATTCACCTTCTCATGAACAGTGAAGGGAATTGCAAAGTATTCTAGCTGCCTGTCCACTCTATCTTGGACTAAAACCTAGGATCTTGTTGTAACACTATCGTCAAAAACTCTGACCTTTTGATTCGTTTAATCTATGCATTATTACTTCCAAACCACCCGGCAAAGTACATCCTATAAGGTTCTAGTTTCTTCACCCTTACGAAGAAGCTTGTGTTAATCTTATTCCTCTACAAATTTGACTCCATTAATGCACTTGTGCATCCTAGCTACCTGTACTTTCACGTTTAAAAGCTTTGCAGAACTCAAGAGACCTTTCCAAGAACATATCTCATCTTCTTTCCTTTATGTTTAAAAGAACTTCATCTAAAATGTGTATTAACTGGATCAACCTTTGAAACATTTGGCCACTAAAAAAATCAGATTTTCTTTTTTTACAACCTCTCTTCCCAGTAACGATCTAAGAGGAATGCTTTAAGATCTAGCCCAGACATACACAATCAATCAAGAGACCTAACCCCAATGGAGTTGATACTTCTCCATCAAGGTTTTAAACCAAAATGCATTTCAAAGCCCAACCAGACAGAAAGAGCAAAAGAACCGGAAATGTTAACCAGGGAGTCCCAACAAAAGAGACAAAGTAGGATACTGGGGTGAAGAACACGGAAAAACAACTTTCTCAAATAACCTGGGAGGAGGGCGCTGCACAGCCCAGTCCCAGCCTAGAGGAGAATGGAACGAGAGCCTTCGCCCTGCACCACTGTACCAGCCATTTGGGTCTCTACAAAGCGCCCTGATAAACTAATTTCCTCTGGAGACACTAAAAAGCTCCTCAAACGGGGGCCTCCTCTCCGAAAGCAGGCCGACCAAGCCGCCCTCCCGCGGATTCGTCCCGGAGTCTTGGCCGTGGACTTCCGAATGCGCGGTAGCAGGTCCCGTTTTCCTCCCCGCCCTCCACCCAGGTTATCAGACCCAGGGCCGGCGTCCGGGGACCAGTGGCCGGCCCATCCCGCAGTTCAGGTTCCAGCTCCCAGCTAACCCCTAGCTGGGACCCGAGCCCAAGCCCGGGCCTCGGAGACCTCCCGGATCCCCCTCACGGGCCTCGGGCCGCGGCCTCCTCCACCTACAACGTGCTGGGATCGGCAGGGGCTCTGGCCCACTCCAGCCGACCTGCCAGCCCACCCCAGCTGGACGCTGCAGGGCGCCGTCCCCAGCGAGCCTGGGTAGGTTCCGGGCTCGGCGAGGCCCACGTGCCTCTCCTGGAGCCGAGGCCTCACGCGGAGCCATACTAACCACGGGAGCCATGGCGGCAGCGGAGGCAGAAAGGGAGATGAGCGAACTACGCAGACGCAAAGAGGACGCAGCGCGCAAGGCACGCAGGGTCCAGGCCACACTAATCGCTTTGCCACGCCCCTCGTCTGCCACCGTTTTTCTTGGTTACGTACGATAGGAGAGCGATTGGTTTTCCCTGAATGCAAAACGCGTCCTCTCCCCGGCCAGGAAGGTTGCCGGGGAAGGGAGGAGGCTGGGCGGGGCGTCCCACTGCGAACGATCGGAGGAGGGAAGCCAGACTGGACGAGCTCAAAGACAAATCAAGGGGTTGTGTTTATTTTTTGAAAGTCTTGTGAAGAAAAAAAAAAAAAAAGGAAATTCACTACACTGTAAATTACCAGCTAGTGGGATGGGAATCGAATCTACTAATTTGTGGAAGTGGGGAAATTATTTCTGGCTACGGGGAAATTTCGTTCAGAGGTCCCAAGGCCAGACCACTATGGCTCCCTCCTACTTAAAAAGCCCCAGCTTGGACGCTCATGCCCAGGCGCTGTCTTCCAGCGCCTGCCCTTCGTGCTGCAGCCAAGCCGCCCACCCGCTGATCACCACCCCCTAGTTTCCCAGCCCACGCCTTCCAGTTTCCCATCCCAAACCAGTACGTAGTTGAGGACCACCAGGAGATCTGGAAAATGCAGATTCCAATTCCTGCGGTCTCAGTGGCCTGAAATTCTGCGTTTCTCACAAGCGCTCAGACGATGCTGATGCTCCGGGTCCACGGACCGCATGTGGAGAAGCAAAGGTCCTCATCCCCAGGCCCACAGTCCCTTGAACTGGGCTACTCTGCACCACCCTCGCCCGTGTGTCCTCATGGAATTATATTCCAGGATCCTGAATTGTCAATCGGTGGCATGCACTCTCCTCTCCCTTTACCTGGCTTCATTGTACTCACCTAGCAAAAGTCCAATCACTGGAGGAGACAGTGGATAGGTCTAGCTTTAAACTCAGGCCTCTGGAGCGGGTTGACCAAGCTCCAAAGCCACCTGCTGTTCTTGGCTCTACAATGCCCCGGCTGGGCCTCTGCAAACACTTCTACTTTGCCAGCTGATCCTGCTTTCTCTCTATCATTAGGGGGCTTTACTTCCTGCTTATTCCTGTCCTGTCTGGTGTCACCCCCTCTTGCTCCTTCATCCTGGCAGTGGCAGTTGGAAAATTCTGGAAGCAACAGTGGAATCCAGTCTGCACTTACTCCAACATTTGCAGAACCAGCCTCATTTTCTTCTCCCCAGAGGCAGCAGCCCAGCCGAGCAGTGCCCTCTCCTCGGATGTTTGAGTTTTGCCTCCCCATGCCCCTCCTTCAAGCGTCTACATTTTGATAACACCACCCTAGGAATGGTAACTACTTCCTGCAGTTGCTACTGTTGGCATTATAACCCTTCAGTTACCTAGTTAACACATCTTTTTTTTTTTTTTTTTTGAGACGGAGTTTCGCTCTTGTTACCCAGGCTGGAGTGCAATGGCGCGATCTCGGCTCACCGCAACCTCCGCCTCCTGGGTTCAGGCAATTCTCCTGCCTCAGCCTCCTGAGTAGCTGGGATTACAGGCACGCGCCACCACGCCCAGCTAATTTTTTTGTATTTTTAGTAGAGACGGGGTTTCACCATGTTGACCAGGATGGTCTCGATCTCTTGACCTCGTGATCCACCCGCCTCGGCCTCCCAAAGTGCTGGGATTACAGGCTTGAGCCACCGCGCCCAGCAAGAAGATGTTCTTAAAGCCCCAGGATTAAGATGGATGCCTTAAGCCATGGCCCACGGGTGCTTCACGGAAGTCAGCGGCAGATCTGGAGCTCATCCCAATTGTGTCTCTGTAGTTATTCATACTGTAATGTTTACTTTGTAAAGAGATGTATCATTTTAGAAACATGCTGTTTTTGAAACAGATGTTGATGGATGTTGTACATCCTTGGCTTAATAGTGTTCATTCAGAGTGGATCTTTAGCCCCCGATCTTCAAATGTACATTGTTAGAGGGCTCCTTCCTGAAGAGTTTTTTGACCTCTGGTTTCTCTTAATACAATCCTCCAGTCACTGACTTGAATTGACTCTTGTAAACTAATGCCAAAGTTTAAATTTCCCTTTATTATATTTATCAAGAATAAGCATGCCTCTCCGGCCTTAAGTATTTACATGCTACCAGGTCATTGTCAGTTTATGGTATTATGTTGTTTTATATAAAGCATTGAATTAATAGAAAAAATTATTCTGTAATAAAAATCTACTTTGACATAAAAAAAAAAATACAAAATTAGCCAAGCGTGGTAGCGCATGCCTGTAATCCCAGCTACTCGAGAGGCCAAGGCAGAAGAATCGCTTGAACCCAGGAGGCAGAGGTTGCAGTGAGCCAAGATCATGCTATTATTGCACTCCAGCCTGAGCAACAAGAGCAAAATTCTGACTAAAAAAAAAAACAAAAAAACAAAAAAACTGTAGTGTGGTGCCTTTTGAGTGGACCCTGGCTGATAACTGACCCTAAGCGAGCGCTCAGGGCTACTGACAATCCTAAATCTCTCCCACGAGGGACTATTTCTCTCTTTTTTAATTTTATTTTTAACTTTTTTTTTTTTTAATATATAAAGATGGGGTTTCACCATGATGGCCAGGCTGGTCTTGAACTCCCGACCTCAGGTGATCCACCCACCTCGGCCTCCCAAAGTGCTAGGATTACAGGCGTGAGCCAAAGCACCCGGCCTCTTTTTTTTTTTTTTTTTTAAGAGACAGGGTTTCACCATGTTGGTCAGGCTGGTCTCGAACTCCCAGCCTCAGGTGATCCACCCATCTCAGCCTCCCTAAGTGCTGGGATTACAAGCATGAGCCAGCATGCCCAGGCTTTGTTTTGTTTTGTTTTTGAGACAGAGTCTTGCTCTGTCGCCCAGGTTGGAGTGTGATCTTGGCTCATTGCAACCTCTATCTCCCAGGCTCAAGTGATTCTCCTGCCTCAGCCTCCAGAGTAGCTGGGACTACAGGCATGTGCCACCACGCCAGGCTAATTTTTGTATTTTAGTAGAGACAGGGTTTCATCATATTGGTTAGGCTGGTCTTGAACTCCTGACATCATGAACTGCCTGCCTTAGCCTCCCAAAGTGCTGGGATTACAGGTGTGAGCCACCAAGTCTGGCCTTTGTTTTGTTTTGTTTTTAATTTTATTTTATTTTTATTTATTTTATTTTATTTTATTTTATTTTATTTTTGAGATGGAGTTTCGCTCTTGTTACCCAGGCTGGAGTGCAATGGCACGATCTTGGCCCACCGCAACCTCCGCCTCCTGGGTTCAGGCAATTCTCCTGCCTCAGCCTCCTGAGTAGCTGGGATTACAGGCACGCGCCACCATGCCCAGCTAATTTTTTGTATTTTTAGTAGAGACGGGGTTTCACCATGTCGACCAGGATGGTCTCGATTTCTCGACCTCGTGATCCACCCGCCTCGGCCTCCCAAAGTGCTGGGATTACAGGCTTGAGCCACCGCGCCCGGCCCTCCATCTCTATTTAAAAAAAAATTAAAGCCGGGCACGGTGGCTCAAGCCTGTAATCCCAGCACTTTGGGAGGCCGAGGCGGGTGGATCACGAGGTCGAGAGATCAAGACCATCCTGGTCGACATGGTGAAACCCCGTCTCTACTAAAAATACAAAAAATTAGCTGGGCATGGTGGCGCGTGCCTGTAATCCCAGCTACTCAGGAGGCTGAGGCAGGAGAATTGCCTGAACCCAGGAGGCGGAGGTTGCGGTGGGCCAAGATCGTGCCATTGCACTCCAGCCTGGGTAACAAGAGCGAAACTCCATCTCAAAAATAAAATAAAATAAAATAAAATAAAATAAATAAAAATAAAAAAAATAAAAAATAAATAGAGATGGGGTTTCACCATGTTGGCCAGGTTGGTCTCAAACTCCTGACCTCAGGTGATCCACCCACCTAGGTCTCCCGAAGTGCTGGGCTTATAGGTGTGAGCCACCACACCCGGCCTGTTTTGTTTTTAATAGAGACAGAGTCTTGTTCTGTCACCCAGGCTGGAGTGCGGTGGCATGATCATAACCTACTGCAGCCTCAAACTGGTGGACTCAAGTGATCCTCCCACCTCGGCCTCCCAAAGTGCTGGGATTACAGGCATAAACCACTGCACCTGGCCCAAGAAACAATTTCACACCTTGATCATAATGCCAGCTCCTCCTTCCTAAACTTCCCTCTCAGGAGTCGACTTTTATTGTTCTTTCTTTCTTTTCGTGAGACAGGCTTTTGCTCTGTTGCTCAGGCTGGAGTGCAGTAGTGCAAACATGGCTCACTGAAGCCTTGACCTCCTGTGCTCCAGCAACCCTGCCATCCTAGCCTCCTGAGTAGCTGGGACCACAGGTGTGCACCCTCAGTCCCAGCCCATGCTCAGCCCCGCTCCCCACCTTGAGCTCCTTCATCTGCAGCCACGTTGGTCTTCTATTCTCTAAGTTTCTTTCTGCTTCTGGGGCTTTGCACTTGCTCTTCCCTCTGCTTGGAACTTTTCCCAACTTTTCTTTTTCTGGTTTTCTTTTGAGACAGGGTCTCGCTGTCACCCAGGTAGGAGTGCTGAGGTGTGGTCACGGCTCACTGCAGCCTCAACCTCCTGGCTCAAGCGATCCTTTCACCTCAGCTGCTCGAGTAGTGGGACTACAAGCGAGAGCCACCACACCAAGCCAAGTTTTAGTATTTTTTTGTAAGAAAGAAGAATCTTGGCCAGGCGCGGTGGCTCAAGCCTGTAATCCCAGTACTTTTGGAGACCAAGGCGGGTGGATCATGAGGTCAAGAGATCGAGACCAACCTGGTCAACACGGTGAAACCCCCGTCTCTACTAAAAATACAAAAAATTAGCTGGCCATGGTGGCGCGGGCCTATGATCCCAGCTACTCAGGAGGCTGAGGCAGGAGAATTGCCTGAACCCAGGAGGCGGAGGTTGCGGTGAGCTGAGATTGCACCATTGCACTCCAGCCTGGGTAACAAGAGCGAAACTCCATCTCAAAAAAAAAAAAAAAAGGGGGGGGTCTTGCTGTGTTGCCCAAGCTGGTCTCAAACTCCTGGGCTCAAGAGATCCACCCATGCTGGCCTCCCAGAGTGCTGGGATTACGGACGTGAGCCACAGCTTCCCACCTGTCTGCCCAGGCTTCCCAGCTTTTCTTAGTTTCTTCTTATCCTCTGGGGACCTCAAGCTCAATTTCCCTCTCTGCTCGTGCTTACCTAGTTTGGTCCTCAGCTCGAGCCCCTCCCAGCTGCCCTGCATCGAGTCATCCTTATTTATTTATTTATTTATTTAATGCAGAATCTCTGTCACCCAGGCAGGAGTGCAGTGGCATCACCTCAGCTCATGCAACCTCCGCCTCGCGGATTCAAATGATTTTTCTGCCTCAGCCTCCTGAGTAGCTGGGATTATAGGCATCCACCACTACACCCAGCTAATTTTTGTATTTTTAGTAGAGATGGGGGTTTCGCCATGTTGGCCAGGGTGGTCTCAAACTCCTGACCTCAGGTGATCTGCTGGCCTCGGCCTCCCAATGTGCTGGGATTACAGGCGTGGGCCTTGGCACCCAGACTATCATCCTTATGATTTTCTTGCAATGCAATGCAGCCTGTCATTATTTGTTTATTTGTGTACTTGATTAACCTTGGCTGCTCTGTTCCCTTCTATGTCCCACGTCAAGTACAACATGTGGCCCATGGTAGATGCTCCATAAATACCAGTTGAATAGATGCAGACATGAATGAATGAACGAACGAAGCACTCACCTCCTACTGGGAAACTAATGCATCATTCCTTGACAAAGCACCTACCGTATGCCAGGTCCACCACATGCGGTAATATTTTCTACTTTCTAAGAGTGTTGTCCCAATTAACTGAGTTAATATAAATTAAACAGCTTGGAATAGAATCTTGGCCCATATCTCCCCACCCTGCCTCCCCTTGCACACACACAGAGACACACACAGACACATACACACACAGAAAGAATCTTGGCCCATAAACATTAGCCATGGCTACTATTGTCATTATGACTTGGTCCACAAATAGAAACAGGGTTAGGGATGGTCCTCAAAAGAATAGCTAGTTTCCCTCTAGAATACACTTCTTTCTCCTAGCAAACTCCTACATATCCTTCAAAACGCAGCTCAAGGCCAGGCAAGGTGGATCACATCTGTAATCCCAGCAACTTTGGGAGGCCAAGGCAGGTAGAGTGCTTGAGCCCAGGAGCTGGAGACCAGCCTGAGCAACACAGCAAAACCCCCAATGTGTGCAGCACATTGTATTTTTGTATTTTTCTATTAAAAATACAAAGAAAAAGGAAAAAAAAAAGCCGGGTGCAGTGGCTCACAGCTGTAATCCCAGCACTTAGGGAGGCCAAAGTGGGTAGACCACCTGAGGTCAGGGGTTCAAGACCAACCTGGCCAACATGGTGAAATCCCATCTCTACTAAAAATACAAAAATTAGCCAGGTGTGGTGGCACATGCCTGTAGTCCCAGCTACTCGGGAGGCTGAAGCAGGGGATTCGCCTGAACCTGGGAGGCAGAGGTTGCAGTGAGCTGAGATCATGTCATGGCACTCCAGCCTGGGCATCGCAGAGAAACTCCCGTCTCAAAAAAAAAAAAAAAAAAAAATAGCCAGGTATGGTGGTACACGACCGTAAGTCCCAGCTATTTGGGAGGCTGAGGTGGAAGGAAGTCGAGGCTGCAGTGAGCTAAGATCACGCCACTGCACTCCAGCCTGGGTGACAGAGTGAGATCCTGTCTTAAAACAAAACAAAACAGCTCAAGTATCTCCGAGTTTTTTTCTAAGCCTTTATTGAGCACCACCGTGGGTCAGGCTCTGGCCTTGACTTTACAATTGCAGGAGGAGCAGAAACGGGCTACTCTCAGGGCATTCAGGATAACATGGGCAGAGGAAGCTCACTGATCACGTCCACCGAGGAAGCGAGGGCATGCTGGAGAAAACCCTGAGATCAACATGCATCTGCCAGGCCCAGTCCCCAGAGGGGGCACTGCTGGAAAGGCTGGGAGCCTCCCCTCTCAACCTTCCACCCAAACCCACCCCTCTTTTGGGAACTTGGCAGGCAATGAGGATGAGCCCTTAATTATGTGGATGCCCAGTATGTGTATTTCATGTACGTTGTTCCACTGGGGCCTCACCCATTATCAGGAGACCAGTTCTATTTTAACCCAGTGCTGAGGCTCTGAGAGGTCAGTAGCCCGGCTGAGAGCCCACAACCAGTGAAAGGCAGGGCTGGGATTCCTGGGCGTCTCACTCTGCCTGGCAAGTGCTGGAAGTTCCATGGAGGGGCAGCCGCTGCTCTCTGGCGCCCACAATTGGCCGTGGAGGAAATGGGGCTGCAATGACCTGTTAGACCCAAGTCCGATGGAAGAGTAGGGACTAGCAAGTGGGGGAGTGAGGGGCCGGGACCCTTTTTTTTCTTCTTCTTCTTTTTCAAGACGGAGTTTCGCGCTTGTTACCCAGGCTGGAGTGCGGTGGTGCGATCTCGGCTCACCGCAACCTCTGCCTCCTGGGTTCAGGCAATTCTCCTGCCTCAGCCTCCTGAGTAGCTGGGATTACAGGCACGCGCCACCATGCCCAGCTAATTTTTTGTATTTTTAGTAGAGACGGGGTTTCACCATGTTGACCAGGATAGTCTCGATCTCTTGACCTCGTGATCCACCCGCCTCGGCCTCCCAAAGTGCTGGGATTACAGACTTGAGCCACCGCGCCCGGCCTCTTTTTTATTTTTTTTCCATTTTATCTATTTATTTATTTATTTTTAAAGATGGGGTTTCTGCCGGGCGCGGTGGCTCAAGCCTGTAATCCCAGCACTTTGGGAGGCCGAGGCGGGTGGATCACGACGGTCAAGAAATCGAGACCATCCTGGTCAACATGGTGAAACCCTGTCTCTACTAAAACTACAAAAAATTAGCTGGGCATGGTGGCATGTGCCCACCTACTCAGTAATCCCACCTACTCAGGAGGTTGAGGCAGGAGAATTGCCTGAACCCAGGAGGCGGAGGTTGCGGTGAGCTGAGATCGCGCCATTGCACTCCAGCCTGGGTAACGAGTGAAACTCCGTCTCAAAAAAAAAAAAAAAAAAAAAAAAAGATGGAGTTTCACCATGATGGCCAGGCTGGTCTTGAACTCCTGACCTCAGGTGATCCACCCACCTCGGCCTCCCAAAGTGCTAGGATTACAGGCATGAGCCACAGCGCCCAGCCTCTTCTTTTTTTCTAGATGAGTGTCTCTCTCTGTCACCCAGGCTGGAGTGCAGTGGTGCAATCTCGACTCACTGCAACCTCCACCTCCAGGGTTCAGGCAATTCTCCTGCCTCAGCCTCCCAAGTAGCTGGGACTACAGGCACGTGCCACCACGCCTGGCTAATTTTTTTTTTTTTTTTTTTTTTTTTTTTTTTTTTTTTTTGAGATGGAGTTTGCTTCGCTCTTGTTACCCAGGCTGGAGTGCAATGGCCCGATCTCGGCTCACCGCAACCTCCGCCTCCTGGGTTCAGGCAATTCTCCTGCCTCAGCCTCCTGAGTAGCTGGGATTACAGGCACGCGCCACCATGCCCAGCTAATTTTTTGTGTTTTTAGTAGAGACGGGGTTTCACCATGTTGACCAGGATGGTCACGATCTCTCGACCTCGTGATCCACCCGCCTCGGCCTCCCAAAGTGCTGGGATTACAGGCTTGAGCCACCGCGCCCGGCCGCCTGGCTAATTTTTGTATTTTTTTCGTAGAGACGGGTTTTCTCCATGTTGGCCAGGCTGGCCTCGAACTCCTGACCTGAAGCGATCTGCCCGCCTCGGCCTCCCAAAGTGCCGGGATTACAGGCCTGAGTCACCGCGCCCGGCCTGCACCCTTGAAGACCCCACAGCCAAGGTCCTCCGGCCTGGCTCTGCGCGGCACTCTGGTCTTGGGGCTCGGGACTCTGTCATCACGAGCAGGGGCCAGTCCAATCTCGCACCCTTGCCTGGCACCGTCCCTGGAGCCTTGGCGTCCTGGCCTCTCCTCTCTGCCGGCTGGGGATGGAGTGGCCCGGCCGGAGGCAGTGCACAAAGCCGATGGCGAGTGCCGAGGTCGTTTTGGCCCCGCTGCTCTTAGGCAGCAGCCGCCCTGGGGAAGGTGGATGCCGGAAGGGGCGTCGCCTGCGGGACACCCAGAGGTCACCGGCGGGAAATTCCGGGGGTGGGAGTGAGGAGAGGTGGGAGAGGCCAGGGCAGAGGGAGGCCCCGCGTCGGCTGGGAAGCATCGCCTGGTGCGGGCCTGACATTCCAGGGCCAGCGACTCCTCCGCAGAGCGACCGCGCGGGTTCTCAGAGCGCCTCCCGGAGCCACACTAGGAGCGCTGGACCCCCGGGGAGAGGTCGGAGGGCGGCCAGCTCCCAGCAAGGCGGCCTAGCGGGCAGGCAGAGGGCCCGGCCCCTCCCCAGCCCTCTCTGCCCGTTCTCCCTGCGCCGGGGCGCTACAGGTCCCAGCCCCGAGTCCTAGCGGCTCCCCACTCCATGACCTCTGGACGCCCCGTCGGGTCCAGACCCGATAGGCAGGGCGCGAGCACCCGGGCGGAGGGGCCGCGGGAGCTCAAGCGGGGCTCGGTGCGCGCCCCAGCCGCCGGCCTGCGCTGTCCCTGCAGATGTCGGGAGCTATCTTTGGGCCCCCGGAGGACCCGAGCACCCTGGACGCCGCCAGCGTTCACCCGCTGGTGTGCCCGCTGTGCCACGTGCAGTACGAGCGCCCGTGTCTTCTGGACTGCTTCCATGACTTCTGTGCCGGCTGCCTGCGTGGCCTCGCGACCGACGGCCGCCTCACCTGCCCACTGTGCCAGTAAGTGTCCCGAAGTTCCCAAAAACCTCCCAGACTCCGTCCCCGGAGGCCAAGGTTTGCTCTGTGTGAACTGGGATCCAGGTGCCAGGAGAGTGAGGCTCCGGCTTCAGGCAGAACCAGCGGGAGGGGCTGCACCCAGTCCTTAGCTCTTTCCCGGAAAGTTGCAGGCTTCAGTCCATTTTACAGATCAGCTTAACTGAGGCCTGGAGACTGCAGTTACTGGCTCAAGACCTCCCATCAAAAGTCAGGGCTGGGCTCCAGCACCGGACAGGACACTTCCAGTAACTTGATTTGGGGTCCTTCTAGGACTTCTAGTCTTAGGTCCACAAAACCACAGTAAACTTTAGGTGGGCTTGAGGCACCCGGGAGTGGCTCTAATTTACCCAATGCCGTGAGGATATGCCAAGAAGAGGCTTCTGCTTTTGATACCAGAGGCACCAACCCCACTGTCTGCAGGAGTGCCCAGGACTGGGCAAGAGTAGGGACCAGGGCAGAGTGAGCGCTGTGATATTTATAGCAGACCCCAGAGCTGGGTGCACCCCCCTTCCAACACAGCTATTTTTAGCTCCAGCCTGGAATGTGAGGGGTGGGGGTGGGGAGCCTTGGAGAAGGGGTGTCAGAATCTTGGGGCCTGGGCTTCTCTGCAGACACCAGACTGTGGTGAAGGGTCCCAGCGGGCTCCCTCCAGTGGACCGGCTGATGCAGTTCCTGGTGGACAGCTCAGGGGATGGCGTGGAGGCGGTGCGCTGTGCCAACTGTGACCGGGAGTGCAGCGAGCAGGCAGGAGCAGCAGGGGCGGGTGGGTGGGGAGTGGAGGGTCCCAGGTTGCACAGTCTCCAATGTTTGCACATGCACCCAGCATGTCCTCAGAGGACCACCTGCCAGTGGGTTCCCAGCACCTCCCTAAGGCACCTTGGCCCCGAATGTGGGCCCCATTATACCCGTGGGGAGACTGAGGTCAGAACAAGGGACTTGAGGCAGTGACCAGATAGTGGCCATTCGATCTGGGGAGGGCTCGCTGGTCTCCAACTCAGGGTGGAGCTGTAGACTCACGCAGGAAGAGTGGTCCAGTCTGCAGGCCTGGGCCGATCCTGGAGGACCTCTGCTACCCAAGTGGCACAGAAGCAGCTACAGCCCAGGGGAGGTGAGGACAGCGTGCTGTTCCCCTGGGCTGTAAAGGACACTGAGGACTCTGGCCTGCGGAGGCCGGAAAGGGTATCGGGAATCCCACGAGGACTGCCCTACTGGGACAAAAGCTCTGGCGATCTGGGCAAGTGCTGAGAAATGTGGGAGCCAGAGGTACAGAGAGGATTAACAGGAGGCAGGGACTCCGGGGAGAGCCTGTTCTGTCAACCGCTGCCTGTCCCCACACCAGGGCTGCAACACGAGCCCTGGCCTCCCAGCCCTGGGTCTGGTTTGGGGAGGATAACCAGAAAGCCCTGACTGCTCTTCTCCCCGCTGAGGCGTGACTCTGGACCGCCAGGGTGCATGCCACCTTTTGGCCACCATTGAGTGTGTCAAGAGGGCAGTGAGAGGCCTTCAGACCCCTTTTGCTGCAGGTAAAACGTTTGCTTCATAAAAGCAGTTTCTGCCCTCTCCCCCTGACTCCCACACCCCCAGGGGTCTCCTTACCCAGCCTCTGAGCTGCAGTGCCCTCATCTGTAAACTGGGTATATCAGAGCGCCAAGTGCCCGGATTACAGGAAGGGGCTGCGTTTAGCTGCGCACCCGACCACGGCTGGGACAGACGCGCGATGATTCGCCACGACTGCGGTTCCCGCGCTGGCCGCGGTCGGGCTCTGGCGCTCCTGAGCCGGCTCTCGGCCCGCAGGACGTGGAAACCACGTACTTCTGCAACACGTGCGGACAGCCCCTGTGCGCGCGCTGCCGCGACGAGACCCACCGGGCTCGCATGTTCGCGCGTCACGACATCGTGGCCCTGGGCCAGCGAAGCCGCGACGTGCCCCAGAAGTGCAGTGAGTGAGGCTTGTGGGGCCGGGGACCGGGGATGGGGACGGGCCGGGAACTGCCCGGAGCCCTCACGGCCGCCCGCCCACCCGCAGCGCTGCACGCAGAGCCCTACCTCCTGTTCTCCACCGACAAGAAGTTGCTGCTGTGCATCCGCTGCTTCCGCGACATGCAGGGGTGCGGAGAGGGGCCGCGAGGGGAGCGGGCTGGGGGCGGCCGGAGCGGGCCTCACCCGCCACCTCCCACAGGGAGAGCCGGGCGCACTGCGTGGACCTGGAATCGGCTTATGTGCAGGGCTGCGAGCGGCTGGAGCAGGCGGTGCTGGTGACGGCAGGGGCAGGCGCACGGGGGTGGGGGTGTGGGGCCGCGCGGCGGCACCCTCCAGCCTGACCCCGCCCTGTGCCCAGTCGGTGAAGGCCCTGCAGACCGCCACGCGGGAGGCCATCGCGCTGCTGCAGGCCATGGTGGAGGAGGTGCGGCACAGCGCGGCGGAGGAGGAGGACGCCATCCACGCCCTGTTTGGCAGCATGCAGGTAAGGGGTGGGGGTTGGGGGTAAACGACCCAGCAGGGAGCTGGTGACCAGGCTGGCCCCTCGCCCTTGTGGATTTCCAGTGTCGCGGGGCAGCAGGCCTTGCACCAAGCACTTTTCTGGAGTTGGTAGGAGAGCTCGGAGGGGAGACCAGGGCCTGCCCCAGGCTGGTGGTGGGGATGTGATGGGTCAGGAAGGACTTCCTGGAGACATGACTTTTTTTTTTTTTTTTTTTTTGAGACGGAGTTTCGCTCTTGTTACCCAGGTTGGAGTGCAGTGGCACGATCTCGGCTCACCGCAACCTCCGCCTCCTGGGTTCAGGCAATTCTCCTGCCTCAGCCTCCTGAGTAACTGGGATTACAGGCACACGCCACCATGCCCAGCTAATTTTTTGTATTTTTAGTAGAGACGGGGTTTCACTATGTTGACCAGGCTGGTCTCGATCTCTTGACCTCGTGATCCACCCGCCTCGGCCTCCCAAAGTGCTGCGATTACAGGCTTGAGCCACCGCGCCCGGCCTGGAGACATGATTTTTAAGGGGAGGGGACCTCCAGCCCTCAGGCAGTGGATGCTGAGATACCTAGCCTAACCAGCAGGTGCGAGGGTAGGCATGGTGGGAGGTGGCAGGGCTGAGGGTGCAAATCAAGAGAATGCCCGCCGTCTCTCCCAGGACAGACTGGCAGAGAGGAAAGCGTTGCTGCTTCAGGCTGTGCAGAGGTGAGTGGGGAAGGAGGGCCTATTCCCCTTGCCCCTTGGCCTTCATGCCCTCAGCTCAGAGCCTGGGCAGGCCCTAGCCCACCCTGGGGAGCAAGACATCTGGGTGTCCACCCAGCTGAGGAGGGCACCATGGGTCAGGGTGCAGAGAGGGGTGTGGGGACGGACATGTGAAGCTGGCAGGGGGATGGGACTGCCGGGTCCTGCTCCTGGCCCCCTGGAGACCAGGCATCCCCCTCCGCCAGCCAATATGAAGAGAAGGACAAGGCCTTCAAGGAGCAGCTCTCTCACTTGGCCACCTTGCTGCCCACCCTGCAGGTACAGGGAGCTCAGGGTGTGTGTGTGGGGTCCCTCCCCCACCAGGTACTGAGCAGTGTCCCCCCGTCCCCAGGTCCATCTGGTCATCTGCTCCTCCTTCCTCAGCTTGGCCAACAAGGCTGAGTTCCTGGACCTGGGCTACGTGAGTCTCCTCCCCCGCTGCAGATGTCCCCTCCCCACCAGGAAACCACCCTGCAGACCAAGGCCACCAACTCAGGGGTGGGCAGCCTGTCACCTGGAGCCTGGACCAGGGGTCTTAGGGCTGACCTTCCCCTCCCAACTCCCATCATCTACAAACCAGTTAGGGCCACTGTTACAAGGACAGTGAAGCCAGGAAGGGGGCATGAGCCTCCAGTCCCCATGGGACAGGATGCCACTGGAGTCCAGCCGCCCCCTCTCCTGTGGATTTGGGGATGGGGTGGGGGTGAGTCCCAGAAGAGGGCGGGAGCCACTAAGGGACACCAAGTAAAGTGCCAAAGACAGACCTGCCCCACCTCCATCTCCATTCCTCCTGCCCCGCCTCTGTCTTCCTTCTTCCTGCCCTCTGGCTGCCACCGCCCCCTCCACTGGCCTGAGGCCCTCTTGGTTGCCACAGGAGCTGATGGAGAGGCTGCAGGGCATCGTCTCTCGGCCGCACCGCCTACGGCCTGCGCAGAGCAGCAAGGTGTGAAGTGGTCTGGGTGGGCCAGGGTCAGGGGTCCCGCAGGGCAGTGGAGGCCACCTCGTGACCCCTTCCTGCCGCCTAGATTGCCAGTGACCACCGAGCTGAGTTCGCGCGCTGTCTGGAGCCGCTGCTGCTGCTGGGGCCGCGCCGGGTGGCAGCTGCAGTGGGTGGTGCTAACACGTGAGCAGCAACGGGCCGGCAGGCAGTCTCCTCCACGGGGGTGTCGGGGCAGGAGGGTGCTGAGGGGCCAGATAGGGAAAAGCCAGGTGCCACCCTTCCTTCTGCCATCCTTAGCTCGCCACCCTCCCAGTACAGTGACTGGGCACAGGCAACGGCTGGGGCCAGTCCACCAGGTAGGGGAACAGGAAGTCCTGGACCTGAAGCCCATGGCAGACCTGGCTTGGAGCTTGGCCAAAGGACGAGTGGAGGACTCAGGCCCCCAGCCGCCACTGCAGCCTGTCCTGGGGTGGGACGCGTGGGGCTGGGCTGACTGCCACCTTGGTGGCCTCAAGCCGAAGGGCACCTGATTCCTGAGCTCATCTGAGGAAGAGTTAGGAGAAATGCTGAAACTGGCATGTGTGCACCCAGGGGCCCCAAAGACCAAGAGAGACTGGGTTCACACGTCCCCTGTGCAGCATGGAGGTGAACACACCATTCCCTCGGTCCTAGCCCTGTCAGCATTCCCACGGACTCACTCTTGGCCCCACATCCTGGAACCCACTCCAGGGACTTTAAAAATAGATGTGGGCTGGGCGTGGCGGCTCATGCCTGTAATCCCAGCACTTTGGGAGGCTGAGGCAGGCGGATCATGAGGTCAGGAGTTTAAGACCAGCCTGACCAACATGGTTAAAATCCATCTCTACTAAAAATACAAAAATTAGCTGGGCGTGGTGGCACCCACCTGTGATCCCAGCTACTCAGGAGGCTGAGGCAGGAGAATTGCTTGAAGCCGGGAGGCAGAGGTCGCAGTGAGCCAAGATCGCACCATTGCGTTGCACTTCAGCCTAAGTGACAGAGTGAGACTCTATCTCAAAAACAAACAAGCAAATAAATAGATGTGGATGTCCAGGTGAGGTCTCAGCCTCAGGCTTTTCAAAGCTCTCAGTAGCTCTGTTGTGCTCCAGGTGACAGAAAGGGCTGTGAGGGGACTGGGAGGCCGGGGGAGGGGCAGACTTCCCCACCCCCCTTCCCTGCATCCAAACTGGCTCTCTCCCCAGGCTGGCAGGGGGCTCAGGCCCCAAGGTGCTGACGGGGCCCCACTGCCCCTCCCCAGTAGGAAAGATGTCGGGGTCACCCGTCCAAAAGCCCACGCTGCACCGATCCATGGGCACCAAGGTGCTGCTGGCAGAGGGCGAGAACACGCCCTTCACACAGCATTGCCGCCACTATGAGGACTCCTACCGGGTGAGGGGGCCAGGGATCTTCGGGTGGGAATCGTCCTAACCCACCCCTCACCAAGGTATGCGCAGGCAAATCAAGTTGTCCCAGCTGCTGAACCTGGGAGCCATTCCTCACCAAGGTCCTGGCAGTAAAAACAGCCTAGGGTGAGGCTGGACACTGTGGCTCATGCCTGTAATCCCAGCACTTTGGGAGGCTGAGGCGGGTGGATCACCTGAGGTAGGGCATTCAAGACCAGCCTGAGCAACATAGACAAATCCCATCTCTAATAAAAATACAAAATTAGCCGGGCGTGATGGCACATGTCTGTAATCCCAGCTTCTTGGGCGGCTGAGGCAGGAGAGACTTGCTTGAACCCGGGAGGCAGAAGTTGTGGTGAGCCGAGATCGAGACATTGCACTCTGGCCTGGGGGAGAAGAGCGAAACTCCGTCTCAAAAAGAAAAAAAAACAAAAAAAAAAACAGAAAACCCAGCCTAGGGTGACCCCATGCCCTCACACGGCCCCTCGGTGCAGCGCCTGCAGGTGGAGATGCAGAACCTGAAGGACCAGGTACAGGAGCTGCACCGGGACCTCACCAAGCACCATTCACTCATCAAGGCGGAGGTCATGGGAGACATCCTGCGCAAGTCCCTGCAGCTGGACACGCGGATCGCCTCGGAGCACGCCTCCTTAGAGGGCATGAGGGTCATCTTCCAGGAGGTAGCCCTCCCAAGGACTCTAACTCCAGCCGCACCAGTCAGGGGACACCTGGGCTACCCCAAGACAGTAAGGGGGGAAAGGGGACCTGGTCTGTGCCCACAGGACCCTCATGTGGCAGGGTCTGGAACCTGGGAGTCTTTGCTGCTTGGAACCATGTGGACCTGGCTGGGGGTGCTTTGTAGATCCGAGTGGCTAGAGATAGCAATGCCACCACTGTGAATTCCATCACTGCCACATCCAACATCCAGCTTTTCTCTTTCAGATTTGGGAGGAATCCTTTCAGCGAGTGGCTAACGAGCAGGAGATTTATGAAGGTTCCAGGCAGCTGGCTGCTGAGTGAACTTCCTGTCCCTGAGTTAACCCACATGCCAGCAGGGGAGGAAGTCAGAGTCGGCCACTAACCGCGTGCAAATCCCTGCACTCTCCCGCTTAGTGCTTGACTTTGCCTCCAGCTGCTAACTGGCCCCAAATGGTGCATGTAAGGTCAGGACTCATTGAGTAAATGCCGCCATCAGCTGCCTCACTCTTTAACGAAAGGTCATCATGGAAATGTTGGGATATTTAGATGGTGTCCAGCTTGAATAAAAACCTGAAGCCAGGTGCTTCAGGGTTAGGACCCCATGCTCTGGCCTTGGCTCCACAGCCCAGCTCCATGACCTTCTCCAGCTGAGGCAGGAGAATGCCTACCTGACCACCATCACCAGGCAGATCACGCCCTATGTCCTCTCCATTGCCAAAGTGAAGGAGCGGCTGGAGCCCAGGTGAGGCTGGGGGGTGTTCCCGGGGGCACTGAGAGTCTCCAGAATGTGTATGGGGGCTGGGTGCGGTGGCTCACGCCTGTAATCCCAGCACTTTGGGAGACTGAGGTGGGCAGATCATCTGAGGTCAGGAGTTCGAAACCAGCCTGGCCAACATGGTAAAACGCCATCTCTACTAAAAATACAAAAATTAGCCTGCGTGGTGGCGCATGCCTGTAATCCCAGCTGCTGGGGAAGGCTGAGGCACGAGAATGGGCTGAACCTGGGAGGTGAAGGCAGAGGTTGCAGTGAGCCAAGATCATGCTACTGCATTCGATCCTGGGCGACACAGCAAGAACTTGTCTCAGCCGGGCGCAGTGGCTCAAGCCTGTAATCCCAGCACTTTGGGAGGCCAAGGCGGGTGGATCACGAGGTCGAGAGATCAAGACCATCCTGGTCAACATGGTGAAACCCCGTCTCTACTAAAAATACAAAAAATTAGCTGGGCATGGTGGCGCGTGCCTGTAATCCCAGCTACTCAGGAGGCTGAGGCAGGAGAATTGCCTGAACCCAGGAGGCGGAGGTTGCGGTGAGCCGAGATCGCGCCATTGCACTCCAGCCTGGGTAACAAGAGCAAAACTCCGTCTCAAAAAAAAAAAAAAAAAGAACTTGTCTCAAAAAAAAAAAAAAAGAAAAAAAGAAAAAGCGTGGGAAAGGTGCCACATCCACAGGACCCCGTTCAGGGAAGTCAGCTGGCCACGTCGTGAGGATTCAGTTGGGACATCTGAGCGACCAGGTGTGGGACATCTGCAAAAGCAAGGTCACAGTGAGTGCGCTGCTCTGAGTTTCTGCCTTTAGGCTCGTAGTTGCTCCCTCCAACCCTCAGGAGTAGCTCAAAGTGGAAGCCACTTCCTGAGGGTGTCCCGAGGGTCCTGCTGGGCGGATCCAGGCAACAGGACGTGGGGGAGGGGGCAGGAACTACATCAGTGTAAGACAAGCCAAGTGGACCAGAGTCGGAACCAAGGTCTCGCAGCACTGTACTCGGGCATCAAAGGGGTTCTAGTGGCAGAGGGATCTTGGTAGCAAGTCTTCCATGTTCCTGTCTCTGAGTCACTGGGCCCCAGGGTAGACTGGTTGCCCTGGAGGTCTAGGGCATGGCTGGAGCCTGGGCTCTCACTTACCACCCAAGTAAGGATTCCACCTGCCCCCCACCCCCGCACCCCATCTCCTATCACCCGAAGTTCCTGTCAGATTTTAGGGGAGCCCACCACCTATTAACTTCTTGAGAAAGACTGCACAGGAGGTGCGTATTTGGGATGACACAGGTCTGAAAATGTCTCCCTTCTACCTTCACCCTTGATTGATAGTTTTACTGGGTATCAGATTCTAGACTGGAAATTCTAGATTGGGAAGGATTCTTCTTCGAAGGCATCACTCTCTTTTCTAGCTTCCGCAGTTGTTGTTCATGAAGGCCGAAGGCGCTCAGACTCCTAACCCTTGTAATGCGACCTACTAATTCTCTGTGGAAGCTTGTAGAATATGTCCTTTGCTCCCAGTGTTCTGAGATTTCACTTTGGTGCGAGTCTATTTTCATCCATTAGGTTGGATACTAGTAGCCCTTTCAATATGGAAATTCATGGTCTTCAGTTTGGGTATATTTCTTTCTTTCTTTCTTTCTTTTTTAATCTTTTTGATATGGAGTCTCACTCTGTCGCCCATACTGGAGTACAGTAGCATGATCTCAGCTCACTGCAACCTCCACCTCCCAGGTTCAAGCGATCCTCCTGCCTCAGCCTCCTGAGTAACTGGTGTGTGCCCCCATGCCTGGCGAATTTTTGTATTTTTAGTACAGATGGGGTTTCACCAAGTTAGCCAGGCTGGAATATTTCTTTTTTTTTTTTTTTTTTTTTTTTTTTTTGAGACGGAGTTTCGCTCTTGTTACCCAGGCTGGAGTGCAATGGCATGATCTCGGCTCACCGCAACCTCCGCCTCCTGGGTTCAGGCAATTCTCCTGCCTCAGCCTCCTGAGTGGCTGGGATTACAGGCACGCGCCACCATGCCCAGCTAATTTTTTGTATTTTTAGTAGAGACGGAGTTTCACCATGTTGACCAGGATGGTCTTGATCTCTTGACCTCGTGATCCACCGGCCTCGGCCTCCCAGAGTGCTGGGATTACAGGCTTGAGCCACCGCGCCCGGCCTGGAATATTTCTTTTTGAATTTGTTGATTTCTTTACTTTTTCTTTTTGGAATTCCTATTGTTGGATATTGGCTCCCCTGGGCCGGCTCTCTAATTTACCTTTTCTGTCTTATTTTCCATCTCTTTGTCTTTTTTTTTTTTTTTTTTTTTTTTGAGATGGGGTCTTCCCCTTTTGCCCAAGCTGGTCTTGAAACTCCTGGGCTCAAGTGATCCTCCCACCTCAGCCTCCCAAAGTGCTGGATGACAGGCGTGAGCCACCGTGCCAGTCCTGTTATTTTCCAGGAGTTTCCTCTTTGGCTTCCAACCGTTCTGTTAACTTGTTCATTTCTGCTATGTTGTTTTAATTTCCAACAGCTCTTTCTGTACCCTGTCTCTTCTGATAGCATCCTGGTGTTCACGGACACAATATCTTACGCCTCTGAGGCCAACAGGTTATTCTTTCCTTTTGGAAATTTTCTCCCTGAAGTGTTTCCTACCAATTGTTTTTGCTTGTGAAGGTTTTTGTATGTTTGTTTGTTTGAGACAGTCTCGCTCTGTCACCCAGGCTGGAGCGGAGTGGTGCTAGCTCAACTCACTGCAGCCTCCACCTCCCGAGTTCAATCGATTCTTGCGCCTCAGCCTCCAGAGTAGCTGGGATTATAGGTGTGCGCCACCACGCCCACTAACTTGTGTAGGTTTCTATCTTCCAGCGTGAAGGCTTTTCTCAGATGTCACGTCACCCTTGAGTATCTGCTCATATTAGGAATCGGGCAGGGCTGGAGCCACGAGGCAGATGGGAAGCTGTGAGCACAGCAGTGGTGCTCCTCAGAGAGGGTCAGGGAGGGTAGGTTCTTGCTTTTATGGAGTGCCCCAAGGTCAGCGGTCAGTCCCTTCCTTTCCGTTCCTTCCCGGGAGGCCTCTCTGTGGAGCATCTGTAGACACACTGCGTTTTCTGGTTTCAGTGCAGTTCTTGACTGGCCTCTCACAACTAACCCCTCAGACTTCGGCTGCAGCAGGAGAGGACCAGTTGCTGAGTGGCAGGGATCTTGGCTGTCACCTGTCCTATTTTGTCCCACCCTCCCTGTGGCAGAGGCAACAGGGCTGCCAGTTCCTAAACCTGCCAGGGGACGCTATGGCGTGAACCTGCATGTCCTCAGCTCGTCCCACCGTCAGTTTCCAACTCAGGTTTCTCAGGTCTGCTAAATCAGTGACCACTTGTTCACGTGCTCTCCGGCTTCCGGAAGTGTGGTGCCACCCTTTCCTGTCCTCAGCCCGGAGGAGCCTTCTTCTCCTTGTCATTTTGATCACTTTACTAGAATCTCAGTGAGTTTGGGGAAGATAGAAAATGAGTGTGCACGATCAGCCATGTGAGCCCCAAACTGCCAAGTCACCTTTAGGTGACTAATTTCACATGACACTGAGAGGTTAAACTCACTTGACTTTCTGCACAATTTTGGTGAATCCCTGTCTACCCTGGACTCCACAGGCATTCAAGGTATTTTAGTTCAGGTACTATGGGATTCCACTTATAAAACCTCAAAAGCGGCCGGATGCAATGGTTCTTGCCTGTAAACCCAACACTTTGGGAGGCTGAGGCAGGCACATCACTTCAGGTCCAGAGTTTGAAACCAGCCTGGCCAACATGGTGAGACCCCATCTCTACTAAAAATACAAAAATTAGGCTGGGTGCGGTGGCTCACACCTGTAATCCCAGCACTTTGGGAGGCAGAGGTGGGCGAATCACAGGTAAGGAGTTGGAGACCAGCCTGGCCAACATGGTGAAACCCTGTCTCTACTAAACATACAAAAATTGCCGGGCGCGGTGGCTCAAGCCTGTAATCCCAGCACTTTGGGAGGCCGAGGCGGGTGGATCACGAGGTCAAGAGATCGAGACCATCCTGGTCAACACGGGGAAACCCCGTCTCTCCTAAAAATACAAAAAAAAAAATTAGCTGGGCATGGTGGCGTGTGCCTGTAATCCCAGCTACTCAGGAGGCTGAGGCAGGAGAATTGCTTGAACCCAGGAGGCGGAGGTTGCGGTGAGCCGAGATCGCGCCATTGCACTCCAGCCTGGGTAACAAGAGCGAAACTCCGTCTCAAAAAAAAAAAAAAAAAAAAAATACAAAAATTAGCTGGGCATGGTGGCACGTGCCTGTAATCCCAGCTGCTCGGGAGGCTGAGACAGAATCACTTGAACCCAGGAGGCAGAGGTTGCAGTGAGCTGAGATTGTGCCACTGCACCCAAGCCTGGGAGACAGAGCAAGACCCTGTCTTGGGGAAAAAAATACAAAAATTAGCCAAGTACAGTGGTGGGCGCCTGTAATCCCAGCTACATGGGAGGCTGAGGCAGGAGGATCACATGCGCTCAGGAGGTGGCGATTGCAGTGACCTGAGATGGCGTCATTGGAATCCAGCCTGGGCAACAGAGACTCCATTTCAAAAATAAATAAAGGCCAGGCATGCAGTGGCTCACACCTGTAATCCCAGCACCTTGGGAGGCTGAGGCAGGCAGATCATGAGGTCAGGAGTTCAAGACCAGCCTGACCATCATGGTGAAACCCTGTCTCTACTAAAAATTTAAAAAATTAACCTGTGTGGTGGCGCACACCTGTAACCCCTACTACTTGGGAGGCTGAGGCAGGAAAATCGCTTGAGCCCGGGAGGTGGAGGTTGCTGTGAGCCAATATCCTGCCACTGCACTCCAGCCTGGGCCACAGAGCAAGGCTCCATCTCAGAAAAAACAAAAACAAAACCCCTCAAAAGTGGGCAGAACTAACTTACAGTGTTAGCGGTCAGGACGGTGATTATCCTGGGAAGGAGGACTGGAAGGGGATACCAAGGGGGCTTCTGGGGTGGGGACAATGTCCTGGGTGCTACTCACACAGGCTTATCCACACCATGAATGTACCAAGGCACAGTCTGCCTTTGCAGAAATGCTCAGGCTAGAGCCCAGCTCCTGGAAGTCTGGGGCAAGGTGGGGCCAGCTCTGCCATGGCAGCCACTTTGTGGATGTCTGTAGTTACTGCCTCAGCCTGGTCCTCCCAGGCCTCTGACTCCGCTCATCCACCCTCGGCGAGCCCTCCCATAGGTCCAGGCCGCCTCCCTTGGCCTCTCAGCAGCACTCATGAGCATCACCATGTTTGTCTTTCTTTTTAAGACAAGGTATCGCTCTGTTGTCCAGGCTGGAGTGCAGTGGCGCAACCATAGCTCACTGCAGCCTCAACCTCCCAGGTTCAGTTCAATCTTCCCACCTCGGCCTCCTGGGTAGCTGTGACTACTGGCATGTGCCACCGTGTCCAGCTATTTTTTTTTTTGAGATGGAGTCTCACTCCGTTGCCCAGGCTGGAGTGTAGTTGCGTGATCTCGGCTCACTGCAACCTCTGCCTCCTGAGATCAAGTGATTCTTCTGCCTCAGCCTCCAGAGTAGCTGGGATTACAGTAGCTGCCACCACACCCAGCTAATTTTTAAATATTTTTAGTAGAGATGGGTTTTCACCATATTGGCCAGGCTGGTCTCGAACTCCTGACCTTGTGATCTACCCGCCTCAGCCTCCAAAGTGCTGGGATTACAGGCATGAGCCATCATGCCCAGCTGCCCAGCTAATTTTTATATTTTTTGTAGAGATGGGGTTTTGCTACGTTGCCAAGGCTGGTCTCAAACTCCTGGGCTAAGTGTTCCTCCTACCTTAGCCTTCCAGAACGCTGGGATTACAGGCATGAGCCACTGTGCTGAGCCATGTTAGTCTTTAGTACGCCTTCTGTCGTTGCTGACAGCCCACAGTCTCATGCCCTCTCCAGCCATCCCTTCCTGGTCTCTGGCTGGCTCTGCCTCCTCAGCTCAGTGCCCAGATGCCAGCTTTTCCCAAGGGCGCAGCCCCAGGCATTCTCTACATCCTACTCTCGCTCCTTGGGTGACCTCATCCAGTCCCTGGCTTTAAGACCCCATCACGATGCAGACCGCCCCAGATCCTGCTCCAGCACAGTGCTAGCTGGAGCGCCAGACTCATCTCCCACTGCCCCCTTGCTGGGCAGCCCTACCTGGATGTCTGACAGGCACTGCGAGTTCAGCAGTGGCCGGAATCCTGGACGTCCTCCGGCAGGCAGGCCATTCCGATTTCCCTATCTCGGTAAATGAAACCACATTAATTCAGGTGAAAAGCCTGGGAGAAAGCCTGGATTCCTTTCACTCACTCCCTTTCCAGCCCACCCTCAGGTTTGCCGGCTCTACTGTCCCACCCTCAGTCCGCCTGCTTTGGTCCCTGTTGCTCCCCTGAATCCAAACCATCATGGCCTACCCTCCTGTCCCTCCAGCTGCCATGCAGCCAGGGGTCCTTTAGAAGCCTACGACTCCCATCACAGCGGGGCCGGACAGCTCTCTTGGGGACCTTCCCTGTGCACCTGTGACCGTGTCCACCCCTCATAACACCCTGGTTACAGTTCCCTTTCAGTTCCCCACCAAAAGCTAGACTTGTCCTATTTCTGGGCCTCTGCCTGAGCATTCACAGACCCTCACTCAGGCCTCAGCTTTGATAAATGTCAGCAGCGGCCTTCCCGACGCCACCTGGATTAAAGCAGGTCCCCTGGCTGGCACCCTCACCTCCCGTCGTGCTTCCTTCCCTCCCTCAGTGTGTCTGCCCCGGCCAGCACGTGGCTTCCATGACGGCAGGGCCTGGCTTCTGCAAACCACACAGTCCTGGCCCTCGCCAGCCACTGGGCCTTAGTAAATACTTGAGGACCAAAAGGATGACGCACTAGGTGGGCCCATGAGTGTCGGCACAGCTGCTGTCTGAGGCTTCTGAGCTGAAGGCCGTGCGGCAGCTGGCTCTGCCCCCTTGAGATTCCGGTGCCTGCTCTCTTGCCAGGTTTCAGGCACCTGTGGATGAGCAGTCTGAGAGTCTAGAAAACACGCAGGACGACAGCAGGAACCGCGCGGCCTTTGCCAGGTAAAGCAAGTCTCTCCACCCAAGAGCGGGCATGCGATGTGGTTTCCGAGGCCAACAAGCGGACAAAGGACACTCCACGTTGCTTTTCTCCTTTGACTCCAGCTCTGGGGCCTCAGCTGGGCCTCTTTGTAGAACAAGGGGCCAGAGAGGCTCTCGGCCTGGATGAGTGACTTAAACAAGTGACCTCATACATAAAACGGGTGTGACTTTAATAGACAGGACCCCATCTTACCATTATAAACAGCCATGGCTGCTGCTGGCATCTGCCTTCACCACTGGGAGCTGCACGCGCTGACACCAGGGGACTCGGGTCACTGAAATGAGAAAGCGACTGAGGACTGTTCCCCGGAGCCACAGTGTGTGCCCCAATACCTGCCAGAGGAAGAGAAGGCTGTGCAGTAATACCCACGACACTGTCACAGGCTGATCTTCCTGTATTTTGCTCTCAGGAAAATGTACTCAGTCACAGGGTGGGGGACAGCACTGTAGAATCAGAGAGGCTAGGGGGTGTGCCAAGGGTTGCTGAAGTGGCCAGAGTCACAGCATGGCTGGTGACAGAGCAGTCTGGCCCCAGCCTCCCCAGCACAGCTGGTTTTTTGTTTTTCTGCCTCCTGGGTTCAAGCAATTCTGCCTCAGGCTCCCGAGTAGTATGGGTGGCATGTGTCACTATACCCGGCTAATTTTTTTATATTTTTAGTAGAGACGGGGTTTCACCATGTTGGCCAGGCTGGTCTCGAACTCCTGATCTTGTGATCTGCCCGCCTTGGCCTCACAAAATGCTGGGATTATAGATGTGAGCCACTGCACCTGGCCGGCTGTTTATTTAGCTCAGATGCTTCTGAATTCTGTCACCAGAAACCGCTGACACAGCCTGATGGTTCAGCAACTCACAACCATCCCTGGGGACAGGCTCCTACTCAGAAGTAGACAAGATCCTGAGACAAGTCTTCCTGGTTCTGAAGGCATGCTTACCCACGAGAGCTTTGGCTCGAGTGGATTTTAGTGCAGGGATACAGTGAAATGGGGGAGTGGTGTGGGCTCACATGAGACTGTCCCTTTAGGAATAATCCAAGAAGTGTCCCGGAAAAGAGAGAGAAGACATCAGAGTCTAAAGGAAACACCTGGGCTCTGAACAGCCTCTCAGAAGAGCTTCTACCACAAAACAAGGATCATCACAGACCCAAACAGAAAAACGGGGGCAACGTCCCCACACGGAGGGAACACCCAACTTAGCAAGTGGGACCAGTACCCGAGGTCAGGCTCTTAGAGCAGGCATAAGACTGGGACACTGGAGAGAAGGTTGTTCCCATGATGGTTGTTTTTATTTTTTTGAGATGGAGTTTTACTCTTGTGCAGTAATGCAATCTCAGCTCACTGTAACCTCCATACCCCAGGTTCAAGTGATTATCCTGCCTCAGCCTCCTGAGTAGTTGGGATTACAGGTGCCTGCCACCACATCCAGCTAATTTTTTCTATTTTTAGTAAAGACAGGGTTTCATTATGTTGGCCAGGCTGGTCTCCAGACCTCAGGTGATCCACCCACCTCAGCATCCCAAAGTACTAGGATTACAGGCGTGAGCTACCATGCCTGGCCAACGGTTTTTTTGTTTTGTTTTTTTGAGGCAGGGTTTTGCTCTTGTTGCCCAGGCTGGAGTGCAATGGTGCAATTTCAGCTTACTGCAACCTCCACCTCCTGGGTTCAAGCGGATCTCCTACCTCAGCCTCCAGAGTAGCTGGGATTACAAGCATGTGCCATTACACAAAGCTAATTTTTTGTATTTTTAGAAGACACGGAGTTTCTCCATGTTGGTCAGGCTGGCCTTGAACTCCTGACCTCAAGCAATCCTCCTACCTCAGCTTCCCAAAGTGCTGAGATTACAGGCATGAGCCACCATCCCCAGCTATTTCTTGAAAAGGTAATCACTTGTCAATCGTGAATCTGGCAGATTCTTTGGCTTGGGCTGTTTTGCTTTTGACCGTGTTTGCATGGCACAAAGTCTTCGTCCTTGCCACAGTGGCTTGTGATGACTCCCAATCCCCATGGAAAACATTCAGGGAGTGGCCATCCAGGAAGAAATCCCTTGCCCTTTCCACTCCGAGGCACCGCGTGTCCATGTGCCATGCCCTGTGCCCGGGCAGGGCGTGCTGTCAGGCTGTACCGGTTTGAGTTTTAGGTAACAACACTCCACTGCTGAGTAGCATCTGCCCTATCGCAGAGGAATCCAGTTTCTCCGGAATTACAGTCCCACTGTTAACTTGGTGCCACTGGGAAGTCCCACCCAGTAATCTGAGCAGTGTCTCACCCTTTCCAGCAAGTGCAGAGCTCCTGCAGCCAGAGTTTGGCACCTGGCCAGCTTCTGTGGCTGATGGTCTCGTTTACAACTTGCTGCTTTCCCAAACTACAGCACCCCTCCTGCGTCTGCCTTCCGTTGATAGCAAAGCCCTGGGCAGCAGCAGCCTTTCTTCTAGTAGCTTTCTCTGAGCAGTCTTCCTTTTCTCCGGAAAACCCTTTTCATTTAGAGGAGTTTAAAAAATGCTTTTAAAAATTAACCCACATGACCTAAAATTGTAAAAGTTTTTGATGCCCAGATAAGTTACATTTAAGCAAATTTTCAGCTGATTCAGTGGTTAACATCAAATGGGTCTACGTGCTAACAGACCAGCACGTTCAACACATAAACACATTACTCACATCGACGTCCACTTCCCCTACACCTGCTACTTCAGGGCACTGAGGTTGCCGTTCCAAGGCCTTACAAACCTCTGTGGTGGTCTGCAGGGCAAAAGGAATTATTGTTACAACTGGTTAGAGATAGGAACCCAGAAGGAACTTGAGAAGGCAAAACACACGTGGTTTGAGGCTGAAGGCTTGAGACTTTTCTTCCCCAGGAGTGACATGACCTCAGAGTTCCTACATCTCATACAATCACACCACGGCTCAGAGTGAAATCAAGTGCAGTTTTATTTATTTAAGAACTGGAAAGAATAATCAGTATCTGTGAAAGAAAATCCAATTTAGAATATTTAAATAAACATTTCTGTATGTAAAAAGAAGAGTAGAATAATTACTCCATTAAGTTCCTCTCTTTGCAATGGGATACATCGCCTCTACTGCAGATGGCCGGGTCTTCCAAACCCATGGCAGGTGCCATGTCTTCTGCAGCAGGCACCCAGAGAATAAGCACTTCCCACCACGACAGAGAGGTCAAGATCTTCAAACCTTGCCAAACCACTACAAAAGCAAACTATGGTGGGCAAGCCCAACTACCTAAGGCAGGAAGAAAGTGCAGCGAAAGGACAGTGGTGTGCTGTGCCTGTCGTGAGGGGACTGCTAGCAGCCAGCCGTGGCCAAGATCTTACTAAGCCTGAACTTCCTAGTTCAGGAGTTTTCCCCATCGAATCAACCCCCCAGGTTGGTATAGAAACAGAAGGGATGAGTAAAGCCTACTTTTTAGGCTTAAGGAGCAGCTCTCACCAGCAAAGGGGTGGCAGGTGGGCCACTGCCTTGTTTTCTGTCCTGCTAAGAGGCTCACCCCGCGACCTCTTCTGTAAACTGCCACTCAGCAGCAGCCTGCAAGCCCTCACGAAAGGCTTCACTTTATGCTCTTTCCAAGTAGCTTTGTGCTGGGCAGTACCTATTTTCCATTTAAGAATCTCTACTTTAAAACCTGCAATGGAAAAATAAATCTCTTGACAGCTTTTTAAATGAGAAAATTGGTGATGTGGCCTTGCAGCAAATACCCAGAAAAGCCTTTACCTCATTAACCTGATTCTCTGCCGCAGGCCCTGCCACTGCTGAATTTATAAAGCTAAAAATAATCTCCAGATCATGGAAGTAAAAAGAAGTCAATCACTTACCAAATCCTGCCCTCAGGGAGTTCATCTTTTATCCCTAAGCAATTGCTGACTCCTGCCCTGGGATTGTAAGGAGGGTGGAAATGTTCTCTCACCATCCCCACCCCTGGAATTCCTCTTTAAAGCAGGCTACGATGTCACGTTTCCCCTAGTGTTGGGCAGCATTTCACTGTGAAACCGTAAGACCTGCCTCCTGGGTTCCTTCCAGCTGATGGGCCTGGCGTGAAGGTGGGCTTTCTGGCCTCTGGCAGATGGAGGATGGTATTAAATGCCAACACTATCAGTCTTAGCATCCACAAGGCCAGGGGCTGCCAACAGCTGCCCCAGACTTATCAACAAGTAGCCCCATGCCACTTAGATACGGGGGAAAGAACTTTCCCTCAAAGAGCTGGGGCAGGCTGCCATCCTCTCCCAGTTTGCAGTTCTCGGAAGTGGAATTTGCTGCCCTAGGCATGGTCTAAAGGACAACTTTAGAACCAATTCAACTCAAGTTCCCAAACAGAGCAAGTGCCAGTCGATGTCCCACCGGGGATCCTTGACTCCAGAGAGATTCTACTGATGGCTCGGCCACCGCCTCGGCTAGAGTCCCACCGCACGCCTGTTTTGAGGGCCAATGGGCAAGTCTGTCTGATTTTCAAACCAGCAGGTGTCACACTAGTAATCAATGAACCCGTAAGCCTCTTTGGTATATATAACAATGAAAAAATTCATTAAGCCATGAAATCTAGAAATAAGTCGTATTTCTTAGTTGATAAAATGCTTTTCTGAACATACATTTTAGGTATCTGGCACAATGAACCAAATGTCTGCCCATGTCTGTGTAGCTTTTTACAGTACAGATTTCAGTGATGTCACCCCTGCATCTGAGCATTAAAAACATTTGACATTGTTATTCTCAGTCCTCACAACATCCCTGTGAGGTAGGTGGTATTGACCCCATTCCACAGATGGGGAGGTCTAGGCACGGAAAGGTTTAGTGGCTCCTCACAAGCTGCGTGGTGGGGCGACAGAGTGGTGCTCTGGACCCGCGCCGCCGCCGCCTTCACATTCACACTTCATCAGGCCACCGCAACACCGCGTGGCAGGATCTCACACTGAGGCCAAGTTCCTGTCTTGTCCAGAATGAAGCCAGCGTCTCACCTCTTAAAGCTTCGATGTGTGACTCAAAGCCAACTGCTCTCCCAAACTTGCAAAACAAACATATTGACTGAATCTTGGCTGGGACTATTTGCACTATTGAAGATTATTTTTGAGAGTCAATCTGCTTGGATTTGTCGTTGTATATGCTTAAACCCCTTTGGAAAACAGTTTGAAATGACATGAGGGACAATGTAATTTTGAGAACAGAACACAGAAAACAAGAGTTCTGAGATTTACATTGAAATTGAGAACATAAGCTATGGTAAAATGAGAATCAAATCCCCAAAAAACGGAGAGCAGCACTTCCCAGTGTTTAACGCTGTGCACACAGCAGGCATTTGGTAAGCACTTCTTGGATCAAGAGAAACTGACGCTCCTTTGAGCTGCCTGTCACTGACAACAGGAGCCAGGACCCCCAGGAAAGCTGGCCGGGGCCATGGTCACACAAACCCACTCGGCCAAGTCGTGTGGAGGTATCTAGGCTTACTTGCTGCAGGATAAAAGTTGAGCTAGGAACACCAAGCGAGTCCCCTTGGAAGGTGTACTGCTATTTATAAAAAATAGATATGTAGCTACGATTAAATAGATGAAGGGCCAAAGCATCCTAGGAGGAAGTATCTTTAAAACTGTCTAGATGTTCATGCAGTGGGGACAGAAATAAAGAGGTTAAAGCGGTTTGTTTTTCGGTTAAATGAAAGGTTGTAAATGCATTTTTAATGCTGACAAGCAGGGTACCCGCTACCCCTTTCTGCTGTGGAAGTGTTGCTGAGGACAGAGTCCGTCTCTCCCAGGGAGTCCTGGCTATCCTTTACTTACACTCTGGCCTCGGGGGCAGTGGCGTGTGGCCTCGGTTCTCCCCAGGTCACTCTGGAGGGCGCTGTGGAATATTGCTGTGATTTGCCTCTTACTGGTATTTCACCCACGTTCCACCTTGATTCAGCACAAGGACAGGCTGCTCCAGTGGGGCCTTGGGTCCTCAGGCCTTCTGACCGCTTGGTCTCAAGAGACATTCCAGAAGAGTGACTAGTGACATATAAAACAATTAAGGAAATCCATGTCGCAGCGGCCAACCGGAAACAGTTTTGTCCCAGGCTGCACAGGGTCGCAGGCCCCAAGGTCACCAGAGTCACTGCCCATCACAGGTCCACCTTGACCCCCTTTATGAAAGGCAGGCCCGTGGGCACCCTCTTCTTATACTCCAGGTACTCCTCTCCAAAAAAGTGAATGAGTGAGATTTCTTCTTCTTCTATTCGATCACGGAAGAATCGCCACACTGTCAGGGCATACCCGATGCCACAGATGGGGTTACACAGCATCACCTGACAGAGGGAGACACCGGGGTCATCAGGGTGACCACGGGATGACACCTTGTGCTTTGGCGGGCACCTCTCTCTAATACCAGAGGATCTTTTTGCCCGTGCCCTCCTGAGACTGTCAGGGTCTCTGGGAGCAGTACTGTCACCTAAGCGCCCAGTGCTGCAGGCCTTTCTTACGTGCTTTTCGGTTGTCGTCTTACATGAGACAAATCTGAAAATCACAAGATCAACCTCTGGGATTTCAACCCTCAGCTTGGGGAGACAGCAATGCCCCCACCTCCTGGTGTGAGCTCCCCAACATGGGGTCCTGTGCACGTTGCCTTCCTGCCCAGGACCCCTCATACACAAACACATTTGCTTACACCACAGCTGTCCAGGCCTCTGCCTTAGCACAAGATACAGGGCACCCAACTGAGCTTCTGAAAAGCGCCTTCCAGCAGATCACCTCCGTGCTCAGCTCCAGCACCTGAACCCCACCTCCTGAGTCTGGGTTTCCAAGCCCAGAAAAGCAGCACTTTGCCCGCTTCCCCAGTCTCCCGTCTTCCCCATGCAGCGCCCAGTTTGCCTCTTACCTCTCTCTCTTTTTCCCCCCAAGACAGGGTCTCACTCTGCCGTGTGGAGTGCAGTGGCGTGATCATGGCTCACTGCAGCCTTAACCTTTCGGGCTCAAGTGATCCTCCCGCTTCAGCCTCCCAAGTAGCTGGGACTACGGGCATGTGACACCAAGGCCGGCTAGTTGTATTTTTTTGTAAAGACAGGTTTTCACCATGTTGTCCAGGCTCATCGCAAACTCCTAAACTCAAGTGACCCTCCTGCCTCGGCCTCCCTAAGTGCTGAGGTTACAAGTGTGAGTCATCACAACCAGTTGTTCGTCCACTTTTTTTGTTTTTGAGACAAGGTCTTGCTCTGTCACCAGGCTAGGGTACAGTGGCACGATCATGGCTCACTGCAGCCTTGACCTCCCAGGCTCAAGCCATCCTCCTGCCTCAGCCTCCCATGTAGCTACAACTACAGAATGAGCCACTATGCCTGGTTAATTTCTTTAATTTTTTGTAGAGATAGGGCTTCACTATGTGGCCCAGCTGAACTTGAACTCCTAGCCCTTTCTTCTACTTTTAAGAACATCCTGGCTGGGTGCAGGGGCTCACGCCTGTAATCCCAACATTTTGGGAGGCTAAGGTGGGAGGATCGCCTGAGGTCAGGAGTTTCAGACCAGTCTAGCTAACAAGGCAAAACACCGTCTCTACTAAAAATAGAAACATTAGCCGGGTGTGGTGGCCTGTAATCCCAACTACTTGGGAGGCTGAGGCAGGAGAATTGCCTGAACCCAGGAGCCAGAGGTTGCAGTGAGCTGAGAATGCCACTGCACTCCAGCCTGGGCAACAGAGTGAAACTCCCTCTCAAAACAAAACAAAACAGTCCTTCAAGGTCAAAAGCATTCTCCAGCTTCTCAGGGAACCCCTCACCTACTCCTGCCCACTGATCCCCTATGGACATGCATCTTCCCCAATATACATTTTATTTATGCTTTCTAAACATACATTTGAGGTGCCAGTACAGCCACCTGGAGAGCCAGGCCCACGTCCCGACTTCTCACACCTTCTTATTCAGCACTCACTGTGCTCCCAGCGCTGCTGAGCCGTTTACAATCATTACACTGTTCAACTCTCATGGCAAACCTTTGAGGATACACTACTATCCCCACTTTGCCTTTTTAAATTTTTATTTATTTATTTTTTAAAGACAGGGTCTCACAGGCCGGGCGCGGTGGCTCAAGCCTGTAATCCCAGCACTTTGGGAGGCCGAGGCGGGTGGATCACGAGGTCAAGAGATCGAGACCATCCTGGTCAACATGGTGAAACCTCGTCTCTACCAAAAAAATCCAAAAAAATTAGCTGGGCGTGGTGGCGCGTGCCTATAATCCCAGCTACTCAGGAGGCTGAGGCAGGAGAATTGCCTGAACCCAGGAGGCGGAGGTTGCGGTGAGCCGAGATCACGCCATTGCACTCCAGCCTGGGTAGCAAGAGCGATACTCCGTCTCAAAAAAAAAAAAAAAAAAAAGACAGGGTCTCACTGTCCATATTGCCCAGGCTGGACTTGAACTCTTGGCCCAAGCCACCCTCCTGCCTCAGCTTCCCAAGTAGGGAGGACTACAGGCATGTGCCACCATGTCTAGCGACTCCCACTTTAACATAAGAGGAAAGGGAGGCCAAGCAGTGAATGGCAGAATCAGGACTGGCCCAGTCAGTGACTCCAGGGCCTGTGCCCTCACATCTGGCATAGCTTGCTGGGGACCCCCTATAGCAGGATTTCTGTTACTGAGCCATGAAACCATTTAGAGCATCATGAAGAGCATTACAAATAGTAAGATAGAAAATGGTGTTTTGTACACAGTAAGGGTAAGTCTTATTCCAGGAAAGACATGCTGGGGCACGTGTGTGTATGATTTTTGACCCCCAAAAAATCTAGGGCAAAAAGGAATGGAAAACGCTGTAGTTCTAGAGCACACATGTATACAGTAGGCAAGCATTTATAGCAAATTACATTATTCAGTCATAACCAATTTGTTCCCAGGGAAGGTGATTGTGGGAGTTTTACATTTTCAGAAACAAAAATTTTAAGTAAATGCTATGTGATAATTTGCCCCAACTATACCATTAGGGGTCACCAGAGAGTCACCAAGGACCATGCATTGCTGATGGGACGCCTGAGAGATCTCTGGATTTGCCCAAAGACTCAGAGTTTTCTGAATTTTCCAAAATCTATTCACATTCTTTGGCAAACTTTTTCGAGAATCAAGAGTACAGAATCAAGAGACAGTTTCAAGAACTAAGGCTTGGTGCTAGGCATGGAAGATCACACCCGTAATCCCAGCATTTTGGGAGGCTACAGTGAGAGGGCTGCTTGAGCCCAGGAGTTCGAGATCTGCTTGGGCAACACCGTAAGACCCCATGTATAAAAAAAATAAATAATTAGCTGGGTGTGGCCAGGCATGGTGGCTCATGCCTGTAATTCCAGGACTTTTGGAGGCTGAGGCAGGCGGATCACAAGGTCAGGAGATCCAAGACCATCCTGGCTAACATAATGAAACCCTGTCTCTATTAAAAATACAAAAAATTAGCTGGGTGTGGTGGTATGCGCCTGTAGCCCCAGCTACTCGGGAGACTGAGGCAGGACAATCGCTTGAACCTGGGAGGCAGAGGTTACAGATCGCACCACTGCACTCAAGCCTGGGCAACAGAGCAAGACTCTGTCTCAAAAAAAAAAAAAAAAAAAAAAATTAACTGGGTGTGGTGGTATACACTTATAGTCCCAGCTACTCAGGAGAAGGAAGCAGGAGGACTACTTGAGCCCAAGAGTTTGAGACTAGCCTGGGCAACACAGTGAGATCTCATCTTGGCTTTTTTGGAGACAGTTTCACTCTTGTTGCCCAGGCTGGAGCGCAACGACATGATCCCAGCTCACCGCAATCTCCGCCTACCAGGTTGAAGTGATTCTCCTACCTCAGCTTCCCAAGTAGCTGGGATTACAGGCGTGCACCACCACGCCTGGCTAATTTTTCGTATTTTTAGTAGAGACAGGGTTTCTCCATGTTGGTCAGGATGGTCTCAAACTCCCAACCTCAGGTGACCCACCTACCTCAGCCTCCCAAAGTGCTGAGATTACAGGTGTGAGCCACCATGCCTAGCTGAGACCTCATCTTTAATACATAAATAATTTTGGCCAGGCACGGTGGCTCATACCTGTAATCCCAGCACTTTGGGAGGCCGAGGCAGGAGGATCACCTGAGGTTGGGAGTTCAAGACCAGCCTGACCAACATGGAGAAACCCGTCTCCACTAAAAATAGAAAATTAGCCAGGTGTGGTGGTGCATGCCTGTAATCTAGCTACTCAGGAGACTGAGGCTCTGTAACTCCAGGAGATGGAGTTTGCAGTGAGCAGAGATTGTGCCACTGCATTCCAGCCTGGGTTACAGAGTGAGACTCCGTCTCAAAAAAAAAAAAAATTAGCCAGGCATGGTGGCATGTACCTACAGTTGCAGCTACTTAGGAGACTAAGGTGGGAGGATCACTTGAGCCCAGGAGGTCAAGGCTGTGATAAGCCATAATCATGCCATTGCACTCCAGCATGGGTAATAGACCCTGCCTCAAAAAAATAATTTTAAAAAAGCAATAGCCAGCCGCAGTGGCTCATCCCTGTAATCCCAGCACTTTGGGAGGACAAGGTGGGCAGATCATGAGGTTCAGAGTTCGAGACCAGCCTGACCAACATGGTGAAACCCTGTATCTACTAAAAATACAAAAATTAGCCAGGTGTGGTAGTTCACACCTGTAATACCAGCACTTTGGGAGGCTGAGGCAGGAGGATCATCTGAGGTCGGGAGTTCAAGATCAGCCTGACCAACATGAAGAAACTCTGTCTCTACCAAAAATACAAAATTATCCAGGCGTGGTGGCGCATGTCTATAATCCCAGCTACTCCGGAGGCTGAGGCAGGAGAATCGCCTGAACCCGGGAGGCAGAGGTTGCAGTGAGCCAAGATTGCACCACTGCACTCCAACCTGGGCAACAAGAGCAAAACTCTCTCAAAAAAAAAAAAAAAAATTAAGGCCGGGCGCAGTGGCTCAAGCCTGTAATCCTAGCACTTTGGGAGGCCGAGGCGGGTGGATCACGAGGTCGAGAGATCGAGACCATCCTGGTCAACATGGTGAAACCCTGTCTCTACTAAAAATACAAAACATTAGCTGGGCATGGTGGCGCGTGCCTGTAATCCCAGCTACTCAGGAAGCTGAGGCAGGAGAATTGCCTGAACCCAGGAGGCGGAGATTGCGGTCAGCCGAGATCGCGCCATTGCACTCCAGCCTGAGTAACAAGAGCGAAACTCCGTCTCAAAAAAAAAAAAAAAAAAAAAATTAGCTGGGTGTGGTGGCGCACACCTGTAATCCCAGCTACTCCGGAGGAGAATCACTTAAACACCAGAGGCAGTGGTTTCAGTGAGCTGAGATCATGCCACTACACTCCAGCCTTGCAACAGAACAAAACTCGTCTCAAAAATAATAATAATAATAATAATAAAAAGAAACATAAGAAATATAGCCAGGTGCAGTGGCTATAATCCTAACACTTTTTCTTTTCTTTTTTTTTTTGAGCGAGAGTCTTGCTGTGTCACCCTGGCTGGAGTGCAGTGGTGTGATCTCAGCTCACTGCAACCTCTGCCTCCCAGGTTCAAGCAATTCTTGTGCCTCAGTCTCTCAATTAGCTGGGATTATAAGCATGAGCCACCACACCTGGCCTAATCCTAGCAATTTAGAAGGCCAAGGTGGGAGGATCGCTTGAGTCCAGGAGTTCAAGAACAGCATGGGCAACAAAGGGAGAACCATCTCTTTTTTTGGTGGGTGGGGGACAGAGTCTCGCCCTGTCACCCAGGCTGGAGTGCCGTGGCAGGATCTCAGCTCACTGCAACCTCCACCTCTCGGGTTCAAGCGATTCTCATGTCTCAGACTCCTGAGTAGCTGGGATTACAGGTGTGTGCCACCATGCCCAGCTAATTTATATACATACATATATATATATATGTATATATATATATATATATATTTTTTTTTTTTTTTTTTGAGACGGAGTTTCACTCGTTGCCCAGGCTCAAGTGCAATGGCACAATCTCAGCTCACTGCAACCTCCGCCTCCTGGGTTCAGGCAATTCTCCTGCCTCAACCTCCTGAGTAGCTGGGATTACAGGCACGTGCCACCATGCCCAGTTAATGTTTTTTGTATTTTTAGTAGAGATGGGGTTTCACCATGTTGACCAGGATGGTCTCAGTCTCTTGACCTCATGATCCACCCACCTCGGCCTCCAAAGTGCTGGGATTACAGGCTTGAGCCACCGCGCCCGGCTAAATATATTTTTAGTAGAGACGGCGTTTTGCCACGTTGGCTAGGCTAGTTTCAAACTCCTAACCTCAAGTGATCTACCCACCTCGCCTCCCAAAGTGCAGGGATTACAGGTATGAGCTACCACACCCGGCTAACTGATCTGCCTTTTTTTAAAAGGGCTGGGTGAGGTGGCTCACACAGGTAATCCCAGCACTCTGGGAGGCTGAGGCAGGTGGATTATGAGGTCAGGAGTTCAAGACCAGCCTGGCCAACATGGTGAAACCCCATCTCTACCAAAAATACAAAAAAGTAGCCAGGTGTGGTGATATTGCCTGTTAACCCAGCTACTTGGGAGGCTGAGGCAGAGAATTGCTTGAACCTGGGAGGCGAAGTTTACAGTGAGCCAAGATTGAACCACTGCACTCCAGCCTGGGTGACAGAGTAAGACTCTGTATCCCCGCAAAAAAGCCAGGCACAGTGGCTAAAGCCTGTAACATCAGGACTTTGAGAGGCCCAGGAGGGGAGATTGCTTGAGCTCAGGAGTTCAAGATCACCCTAGGCAACTCCAAAACCCTGTCTCTATAAAAAATAAAAATAAAAAATTAGTCAGGCATGGTGGTTCTTGCCTATAGTCCCAGCTACTTGGGAGACAGAGGTTGCAGTGAGCTGAGATCACACTGCTGCACTCTGGCCTGGGTGACAGAGCAAGACTACATCTCCAAAAACAAAAACTCTTTTTCTTCAGCCTGAGACAGAACAAACCTCCACAGCTTACACAGCTCACTAACGCATGACCTTGGCCTCATTAATATCTATTTCTCATGAAAACCAGCTAAGCTGCTACAGGAGTGGTAAAGGGCATTCTCTTCCCTAAGCCCCATCTCTGTCCAGAGTCCTCAGCCCCTCTGGGGTGCTTCAGATCTATTAACAGGTTGCAGGGGCAGAGAAGAGGACAGGCACAGCAGCTCATGCCTATAATGCTAGCACTTTGGGAGGCTGAGGTGGGAGGATCACTTTAAGGCCAAGAGTTTGAGACCAGCCTGGACAACACAGTAAGACCCTGTCTCTACCAAAAAATAAAAACAAAACAAAAAACAAAACAACAACAACAACAACAAATAGCCAGGCACAGTGGCTCACACCTGTAATCACAGCACTTTGGGAGGCTGAGGCAGACAGCCTGATGAGATCAGGAGTTCGAGACCAGCGTGGCCAACACAGTGAAACCCCGTCTCTACTAAAAATGCAGAAATTAACCGGGTGTGGTGGCATGCACCTGTAGTTCCAACTACTTGGAAGGCTAAGGCAGAAGAATTGCTTGAACCCGGGAGGCGGACATTGCAGTGAGCCGAGACCAAGCCATTGCACTCTAGCCTAGGTGACAACAGTGAGACTCCATCACAAAAACAAACAAAAAACAAACAAAAAAAAAAAACAAAAACAAAAAAACAGGTAGAAACAGGATGAAGGGGCCGGGCGCGGTGGCTCAAGCCTGTAATCCCAGCACTTTGGGAGGCGGGTGGATCACAAGATCAAGATATCGAGACCATCCTGGTCAACATGGTGAAACCCCGTCTCTACTAAAAATACAAAAAATTAGCTGGGCATGGTAGTGCGTGCCTGTAATCCCAGCTACTCAGGAGGCTGAGGCAGGAGAATTGCCTGAACCCAGGAGGCGGAGGTTGCGGTGAGCCGAGATCGCGCCATTGCACTCCAGCCTGGGTAACGAGAGCGAAACTCCGTCTCAAAAAAAAAAAAAAAAAAAAAAAGAGGCCAGGCGCGGTGGCTCAAGCCTGTAATCCCAGCACTTTGGGAGGCCAAGGCGGGTGGATCACGAGGTCGAGAGATCGAGACCATCCTGGTCAACATGGTGAAACCCCGTCTCTACTAAAAATACAAAACATTAGCTGGGCATGGTGGCACGTGCCTGTAATCCCAGCTACTCAGGAGGCTGAGGCAGGAGAATTGCCTGAACCCAGGAGGCGGAGGTTGCGGTGAGCCGAGATCGCGCCATTGCACCACTCCAGCCTGGGTAACAAGAGCGAAACTCCGTCTCAAAAAAAAAAAAAAAAAAAAAAAAGAAACAGGATGAAGGGACACAGCAGGTAGCTGACAGCACCAAGAATCACCAAGGGTTTGTGTACCCAGGTTTTGTGCACGTAATAAAAACCATTAATGACTATATTAGTTCTCCTGACTTTTTTTTTATCACTTGAAACATGCCAAGGAGAACATGTACCTATTTAAAGGAGATCAACAGTCTCGTGAATACAATGAAAACCACTAACTGTATACTTTGAAATGGTGACTTTCATGGTATGTGAATTATATCACAATGTTTAAAATGTTAGGGAAAAAAAAAAGGAAAATGGTGTCATATTTGATACCATACCTGAGTTCCAATACTCCAGTAAAACCACCCGACGTAAGAAGGATGCCGGAACCAAGCGTATACTCCACTGGTCACCAGAGTATGGGTATCTGATTTTTCATTCTGCACCACGTGGTTGAAATTGGAGCCAGCTGTAAACATGGCCGCCTTCCTCAGACATTCTCCAAAGACCACCATCAGCAGTCCCGTGATGCTGAGCCAGGTGATCTGCTTCAGTTCTGCAGGAGAGAGACATCGATGACAAATGAGAAGTGAAACACTGGCCTGCTGAGCTCCCCTTTGAACTGCTGAAAATTAACCTATTTTCCCGAAGATAGAGAAGAACAGAAAATGTGCTCATGGGCAATCAGCATTTGTCATCACATTAAAATTTCATGATAAGAAAACACATTCCTCTATGTTGTGCTGTTCATCAGTTTACTTTAAAATGCCAACAAGCCAGCATCATAGTAAAGAGATGCTCTCCTGCTACAGCTGATGGGATCTCTGGTTCACATGCTCCGTCCTTCATTTGGGGACAAGCACAGCTAAGAGAAGCAAAGAAGGGTCGGGTCAAAGGTTTCCACCCTGAATCCTAAAAGCCACATGTAGTTCATTTCATTGGCTATGGGATGTTCAATTTAGTCTTGCTCTGTCACCCAGGCTGGAGAGCAGTGGCCCAATCTCGGCTCACTTCAACCTCCGCCTCCCTGGTTCAAGCAATTCTTCTGCCTCAGCCTCCCAAGTAGCTGGGACTACAGATACCCACCACCATACTTGACTAATTTTTTGTACTTTTTAAGTAGAGATGGCATTTCACCATGTTAGCCAGGATGATCTCAATCTCCTGACATCATGATCCGCCTGCCTCGGCCTCCCAAAGTTTTGGAATTACAGGTGTGAACTACTGTGCTTGTACCTGCCGTTTTTTTTTGTTTTTTTTTTTTTTTTTTGAGATGGTGTTTCTCTCTCATTGCCCAGGCTGGAATACAATGGCATGATCTTAGCTCACTGCAACCTCCACCTCCTGGGTTCAAGCAATTCTCCTGCCTCAGCCTCCCAAGTAGCTAAGATTACAGGCATGCACCACCATGCCCAGCTAACTTTGTATTTTCAGTAGAGACTGGGTTTCACCATGGTGGTCAGGCTGGTCTCGAATTCCTGACCTCATGTGATCCACCTGCTTTGGCCCCCCAAAGTGATGGAATTACAGGCATGAGCCACCGCACCTGGTCTTGTTAATAAAACTCTTACATGAAACGTCTAAAGTCACAGAAAGTGAATAGATGCAAATATCTGACTGTAAAATTAGAATCACAACTACCCAAGGCTGTGACTTCCCATTAGATGGTGAGCTACGTGATGCAAGCTTTAAAGCAAAAGGACAACACGTCCTCGAGTCAAAATCCAGAAGCAGAATTCACGAGCGGAGCTCATCCTTTATAAATAGCTTAGTGAGGATAGAGGTCTGAGGAAAATCACTTGGGGGAGATTAGACCTGAAAGGTGAATCAATGTCACTGTCCTCAACCTGAATGGGAGCCACCCTTCTCCCTTCCAGAGGGGAACATAAGGCACACGAACCTGGCCAAAAAATGTTTTCAAGTGTGAACTCTATCCAAGAAGAAAGAGCAGCAACTGTATACTCCAGACTGTGATTCAGGAGAAAGGAATCCAAAGACAGACTTTTGGGATTATTGACTGCTGTCACCAAGTATTCAGAATAATGGAACAATGACAGGGAGCACATGTACCTATTTAAAGATAAAAAGAGAGTTAAGTTGGGATAAGAGAACCAAGTTAGCCATCAGTGCAGGTGTGGGTCTCCTGAGCTGTCCCTAATTCCATGAGGCCCTGTCTGAGAGTGGACACAGGCACCCATGTGCAGCATCTACTACCTCAGGTTTTAGGAAAGTGGAGTTTGTAACAGACTGTTTTTGTTTTGTTTTGATTTTTGAGACAGAGTCTCGCTGTGTCACCCAGGCTGGAGTGCAGTGGCGCGATCTTGGCTCACTGCAACCTCCGCCTCCCAGGTTCAAGTGATTCTCCTGCTTCAGCCTCCCAAGCAGCTAGGACTACAGGCGCCCGCCACCACGCCCGGCTAATTTTGGTATTTTTAGTAGAGATGTAGTTTCACTATGTTAGCCAGGCCAGTCTTGAACTCCTGACCTCGTGATCCGCCCGCCTCAGCCTCCCAAAGTGCTGGGATGACAGGCGTGAGCCACCTCGCCTGTCAAGGCACTGTTTTTGAATGTCACAGGCAAAACCAACCCGCAGGTCATAGAGGCATTATGGATCCTTCCATCCTTTAAAAATGACACTACACACAAAAAAAAAAAAAAAAACATGAGAGAGAGAGATAACAACATAAAGGAGTGATGTATGTTGGATACAAAATTTAACAAAACTGAAATAATTCCAGCAAAGAAGGATTAGATGGCTCAAAATATTGATAAGAGGAGATAAAACTTTTTACCTTGAAGCCACTGTTTCATATCCAGGTCAGACTAGAAGGCTCAAGGGACTGAAATCATAGTGTAGGGGAAAATCCTACAATGGCTGTGGGGATGCACTAGATGTGACCTAATAGAAATTAGAGATGAAAAAGGCCTATGAAGACAAGCCAGAGCCCTGCCCCTGCCCGCCACCGAGGACCTGCACCCCTTCCGGGAAGGGCTGGTCACATTACTGAATGCTGTCACCACAGCTGCGGATGACACCACCTTTGGGGGTGCCAGGGAGACCTGTTTCTGCCTGACACAGAATCAACCCACAGGCACGAAATCACAAGGGCTGAAGTGTGAGCAACTAGGGGGCAGCCAGGAGACTTCACGTCCAGAGAACCCTGAACAGCCTTCTGCCGGTCACAGATGAGACAGGGATGAGGAAATGCCACTCCTGACCCTCTGATCTGTCCACCCTCGCCTGAAAACCGGTATTCCCGAAGGACTTCTTACCAGCCAAAGTGAGTCCAAGAAGACTGGCTAAAACTTAGCAGCACACCGCAGCCGAACACAAAGCCCAGGAAACAAGCTCGGATGGCTATCTGCAAGGGACCCAAGAGAAGCTGTCACCCGCAGTCCTCAGAGTACAGATCTGGGCTACTGACCTTCCTGGGATAGGCAGGCCACAGGCAAGCAAACAGGGCCGATTTGCTGAGGTTGAGAGGGAGAAGCGGGCGACCTGGGTTCAAATTCTTCACCCACCCCTCTCTGGCTGTGTGGCCTCCCAGCAAATTATTTAACCTCTCTGGTCTCTGTTTCCCCATCTACACCCAGGAGATAACAGTACCTACCTTTCAGGACTGCGGAAAGAATTACGAAAAACACTTAAGACTAACTGCTACCTAAATTTTAGCTGCCATTATTATTATTACTCGCGATTATTCTTCAGGGCTGTAGGAAAACAGCTTAAGCCTAGTTTATGAGGTCAGGGCACCCGGGCCTGTGCGCCCAGCCCCACCCGCGTCACTGCGGGGCCTCTGACCTGAGACGGGGCAGCAGGTAGGTCTCCGCACCTTAAGTTACATAAAGGCACTCGCGGGCTCGCTCACTCCCACCCCACGCGCACTTGCTGAGCTGCACGAGCTGCAATTTAACACCCACACCCCGGGTGCAGGGCGCCCGAGCCCGGAGAGGCAGGGTCCCCTCCTGCGACCTGAACTCGCGGATGAAAAGCGCGCGCGTGGGAGGCCGCTGCGGGCCGGGGGAGAAAGGTGCTCACGCGCCGCGTAGAGCGGACCCCACCCGCCCCACCTGCCCCGCCGGCCCTCGCCGGCCTGCACCTGGTAGCGCGGCGGCCGATAGAGCAGCAGCAGCAGCGCGTTGAGCCCGGCCACGTAGAGCGCCAGCCCGGTGCGGCCCTGCAGGCCGGCGCGCGTGAGTAGCGGCAGCGCGAGCACCGAGGCGCCTAGCAGGAAGGTGGCGAGGCTGAGACGCGCCTCAGAGCCCGGCGGAGCCCGCGCCGCGCAGCCCGCCATGGCGCAAGGCGGCGGACGAGCGGGCGGCGGCGCCGGCTGTAGCCCGGGGAAACGCGCCGGCCGGGCCTGCGCACTGCGTCGCCGACGCCGGCCTGGGAAGGGCAACTGCCCGGAGCCGCGCGCCTCCTGCCAGTTCTCGCGAGAACTCCGGTCAACCGGGTTGGTGGCCGGAATTTGGCGGGAGTGCCCCGCCTCGCCCCGCCCCTTGGGAACAGCCGGGCTCTGAGTCGGGCTTTGGGACTGGCTAGCGCCGGGGCGGGGCCGCTGAAGTCGCTTCCGGCCTCTGCCCAAACTTAGTCCCAAACTCAGGAGTTTCCTGTCCGAAGAAGCATTTAAAGTCTGAAACGACCCGGGCGCGGTGCCTCACGCCTGTAATCCCAGCACTTTGGGAGGCCGACGCCGGCGAAACATTTGAGGTCAAGAGTTCGAGACCAATCTGGCCAACATGGGGAAACCCGTCTCTACTAAAAATACAAAAATGACACTGCACTCAAGCTTGGGCGACAGATTGAGACTCTGCCACGCACACACAAAAAATACAAAATTAGCTGGGCGTGGTGGCGCACGCTTATAATTCCAGCTGCTTGAGGGGCTAAGGCAGGAGAATTGCTTGAACCCGGGAGACGGAAGTCGCAGCGAGCCGAGATTGCGTCACTGCACTCCAGCCTGGATGACAAAGTGAGACTCTGTCTCAAAAAGAAAAAAAAAAAAAGTTTGGCCGGGCGCAGTGGCTCAAGCCTGTAATCCCAGCACTTTGGGAGGCCGAGGCGGGTGGATCACGAGGTCGAGAGATCGAGACCATCCCGGTCAACATAGTGAAACCCCGTCTCTACTAAAAATACAAAAAATTAGCTGGGCATGGTGGCACGTGCCTGTAATCCCAGCTACTCGGGAGGCTGAGGCAGGAGAATTGCCTGAACCCAGGAGGCGGAGGTTGCGGTGAGCCGAGATCGTGCCATTGCACTCCAGCCTGGGTAACAAGAGCGAAACTCCGTCTCAAAAAAAAAAAAAAAGTTTGGCCGGGCGCGGTGGCTCAAGCCTGTAATCCCAGCACTTTGGGAGGCCGAGGCGGGTAGATCACAAGGTCAAAAGATCGAGACCATCTTGGTCAACAAGGTGAAACCCCGTCTCTACTAAAAATACAAAAAAAAAAAAAAAAATTAGCTGGGCATGGTGGCACGTGCCTGTAATCCCAGCTACTCAGGAAGCTGAGACCAGGAGAATTGCCTGAACCCAGGAGGCGGAGGTTGCGGTGAGCCGTGATCGTGCCATTGCACTCCAGCCTAGGTAACAAGAGCGAAACTCCGTCTCAAAAAAAAAAAAAAAAAAAAAAAAAAAAAAGTTTGAGAGTGGCCACACCCTCGCCGGCCCCACGTGGTCTTGGAAAACCAGATGCCCTGGGGCGCAGGTGCAGCCAGGTGCGGGAATCTTCCGCGGGTCCCTGGAAATCGGCCTGGACAACGGCACCTGGGCATGCATGCGATGGGACCACTGCCCACTTAAATTCCTGTTGTGGAACAAGGCTAGGCAGTGGTGGGATTGCTCAGAATGTATTCAGTTTTCGGTGGATCCTGACTTCACTTGGGGGGAAAAGGGCAGGTGAGCCTGGGAAAATGATCGAGCTATAAGCCAAAATGACACACTGGCGACTACATATGTACATATTTTTTTTTTTTTTTTTTTTTTTTTTTTTTTTTTAGATAGGGTCTCACTCTGTATCCCAGGCCAGAACTCCTGGGTCCAAGCGAGCCTCCTCTCTCTCAGCCTCCCAAAGCACTGGAATTACAGGTATGAGCCACCACCCCTGGTCTATCGATAGGTGGAGGCACTCTGGAGTGCAATGGCTTGATCTCGACTCACTGCAACCTGTGCCGCCTCCCGGATTCAAGAAATTCTCCCTCAGCCTCCCAAGTAGCTGGGATTACAGGAGCCTGCCACCATAGCCCCTAATTTTTTTGTATTTTTAGTAGAGATGGGTTTTCACCATGTTGGCCAGGCTAGTTTTGAACTCCTGACCTCAGTGATCCACCCGGCTTGGTTCCCCAAAGTGCTGGGATTACAGGCGTGAGCCATTGCAAGCCTGGCCCATACATTGCTTTTATAATCGGAAGTTGTTCTTTACATTTTAAATAGTAAATGCTGTCACCTCAGGTAGCTCAGAGAGCCATGCTGGAGGAGAAAAGCCAGTAAGTGAACGAACAACCCAGAATAAACTCTGCAGGGGTGGGAGTGGGGCGGGAGCAAAGCAAGGATGGGGAGCAGAGAGGGACCCCAGGGGAGGCCCTCAGCTTGGAGGGCAGCAGGGCGAGGAGGCTGCAAGGAACAGACAGCAGAGTGAGGCCCTGGGGCCCCTGGGGATGGACAGCCTGCCCTCCATTGGAAATGAGATCAAGGAGGGAGTGAGGGCTCGGCGTTTGAAAGGCACAGAGGCGGGAGGAAGCAAGGCTGAGAAGGGATGGGGACAGGCCCTCGGGGAGGCTGGCACCAAGTGGTGGGTCAGTGAGCATGAGGCAGGCAGGCCGTGAGCCTCGCATCTGAGCCCCTCACCTTTCGACTCTTGTCCCTGCAGGGCCTGGCAGGAGCTCTGGTATCTGGGAAGCTGGATGGAGAGCCTGGGCTGGAGCCCACCCTCTGCAACTTAGCTTTGTGACCGTGGCAAATCCATTCTATGTGCCTCTGTTTCCTGTACAGTGGGGACCTGATTTTTCTGGCAACCTCCACCAGATTGGTATTTTTTTCTGTAAAGCCCAGTACCATTTTATTTTATTTTATTATTTTATTTTTATTTTTTGAGACAAAAGTCTTGTTCTGTTGCCAGGCTGGAGTGCCATGGAGTGATCTCAGCTCACTGCAACCTCCACCTCCCAGGTTCAAGGCATTCCCCTGCCTATTACCAAATAGCTGGGATTACAGACATGCACCACATCTGGCTAATTTTTTTGTATTTTTAGTAGATACAGGGCTTCACGATGTTGGCCAGGCTGGTCTCGAACCTCTGACCTCAGGTGATCCACCAGCCTTGGCCTCCCAAAGTGCTGTGATTACAGGCGTGAGCCACCGCACCTAGCCCATTTTACTTTATTAATTAATTTTTTTTAGGTAGGGCCTCACTGTTGCCCAGGCTGGAATGCAGTGTCGAGATCATAGCTCACTGCAGCCTCCAACTCCTGGGCTCAGACTATCCTCCTGCCTCAGGCTCTCAAGTCACTGGGACTATAAGCATGTACCATTGTGCCTGGCTCCAGTACTGTATTTAAACAGTGCTCGGAAAACTGGCTAAATTTGGTGGATGAGAATTGAAAAGAGATTTAATGGTTTGTTTGTTTTTTGAGATGGAGTATTGCTCTTGTTGCCCAGGCTGGAGTGCAATGGCGAAATCTTGGCTCACCGCAACCCCTGATTCCCAAGTTCAAGGCATTCTCCCGCCTCGGCCTCCTGAGTAGTTGGGATTACAGGCGTGCACCACCACACCTGGCTAATTTTGTATTTTTAGTAGAGACGGGATTTCTCCACGTTGATCAGGCTGGTCTCGAACTCCCGACCTCAGATTCCGCCTGCCTCGGCCTCCCAGCAGTGAGCCACTGTGGCCGTCGAGATTTAATGTTTTTTTTTGAGATGGAGTTTTGCTCTTGTTACCCAGGCTGGAGTGCAATGGCACGATCTCGGCTTAGCGCAACCTCTGCCTCCTGGGTTCAAGCAATTCTCCTGCCTCAGCCTCCTGAGTAGCTGGGATTACAGGCACGTGCCACCATGCCCAGCTAATGTTTTGTATTTTTAGTAAGACGGGGTTTCACCATGTTGACCAGGATGGTCTCGATCTCTCGACCTCGTGATCCACCTGCCTTGGCCTCCCAAAGTGCTGGGATTACAGGCTTGAGCCACCGCGCCCAGCAAGATTTAATGTTTTAAAAAACAAAGTTCCCCAGCTGTGGTGCCACATGGGAAGGAGGCCTGGTTGTGAATGTTCCTGGGAGCTAAGAGCTCCTGTGACTGCCGCCAGTTTCCCGTGGCCTCCCCCAGACTCGGGACCTCTCCCTCTGCACCAGGACACCTCAGGACCACCAGAGGGCACTCATCACAACTTCACCCCTGGAAGTGAGCCAAAACCACTCTGCCTGGAAGCCCTCCCCTGGCTCTTGGCATTTGCTCTCCTCATTGTATAAGGGCCCTGATTTACCCCCAGGGCCTGTTGCCATCCGAGGGTGTAACCAGACTGGAGAACCAGAGCAGTGCTCCCTCCTCTGCCCGTCATCTCCCCTTGGGATCTCCCTCTTCATCGGCTTCCATTTTGGAGAAGGGAGAAAGAAAGCAGGGGCAGTCTCCTCCCAGGTAGGGCCGGTTCAGGGAAGGAGAATTTTCAGAAGTTGCTGGAGTTGCTGAATGTGTCAGGGCCAAGGATTCACAGAGCAGTGATGGAGGAGAAACGAGAGGAAGCAGATCTAAGCACACAAGAGCATAAAACCAGAGAAACAAAGTCACATGCACACAGACACAGGGAAACATGCACTCAGAGATGCACAGACACATGCCGACTCCACGCAGGGACCTGCTTTCCCACCCCAGAGGAAAGCAATCTGATCACACAGACCTACTGTGCAGCCAGCCCTCCATGCTCAGGGACAACACACCTACCGACATAGGAAAGAGAGGGAGACTGCTTTGCCTGCGATGCCTTGCTTGCCTTTTCTAGCAAATAAGCATTTGAATGAGTTTTGTTCTAGGAGCTTTGGAGGCAGGCACAAAGGGAGCCCTTTCTCATGCAGGAAGGTCCCTCTGCAGCCTCTCCTTCCCCTCTCCCACCTGCCTTTTGCCCATGGGCTGAAGTGGCTTTCTTTCCTGGGTCCGAGTGAGGATCTCTCCTGTTTTAGAGAACCCTGAGAACCACAATGCCATTTCTAAGTTAAACTGCTGGCCAAGATGAAATTAGGTTTTTTTCTTTCTTTCTTTCTTTCTTTTTTTTTTTTTGACACAGAGTCTCCCTCTGTCACCCAGGCTGGATTGCAGCAGTGTGATCTCGGCTCACCGCCACCTCTGCCTCTCCAGTTCAAACGATTTTCCTGCCTCAGCTTCCTGAGGAGCTGAGATTATAAGTGCATACCACCATGCCCAGCTAATTTTTTTTTT